TTTAGTCCACAATTATCATTCAAGATGATTAAGATAAAGTGAAAATGTCATTTTTTTAAATACATGTTGTAGGTTCGAACACATAATTTATAATTATTTTAAGATTTAGTTAATTCGCTGCTTGACAGCAAATACTACATGAGCAGTGAGATTTTAATTATTACAATTTTAAAAGATCGTTAGATAGAGAAAATTATGCAGTGCTTGATAATGTAGAAGCCGAAATTCATTTTCTTTAATGCATTGTCCTTTGTACTCTGAATAAAGATCAAAACTCTTTTGAAAATTATCTCTGCCAGTAATCAAATGGCATCTCATTTATGGATTTATTGTGTGTACTTATTTCAGATTATCCTATAGACAGGTTGCAAATCATTTTTCATTTACGCTAAGACAGTCCATTATGTTCAGAAAATGAAAATGTATTTCAGTGTCATTTTCATCTACTAATAATTCTTAAAAAAGACACTACAAACCTAAGCGTACAAAATGCAGACATATATTTATCACAATTTTGTTTATTTTTATGAACTTTTTGTTTTTCTCTTAATGTTCTGCTCTTTACTTACTTTACTTACTTACGTGGATACAAATTAATGAAATTATATGCATGGTTATAAATCATTTATTTTTTGTACACAATGAACACAAAACCCTCCTCTCCGCCTTTTTCGTATATAATGTAAATCAAATACGGAAAACCATGTGCTTATGATCCATTTCCATGCGATTTAAATGTCTCTGCCCCTTTGCTGCCACCTTAAAATCGAAAGCGGTCCAGTTCAATTTTCCGGAATTTATGGCTTAAACATGTTCTTTTCAATAGCGTTGTATGTAATTATAGAAATATGCATGACGAAAAATTCTAGAAATAAATATCAAAAACATATGCTTGCACATTAATCATAGATTAATTAAGCGATATATTTTAACGTTAAGCTTAAAATGGGTAACCGAAAAGGTTCCAAATAACGTCCTTAAGTGCAGTCATTCTTTACGATAAAATTTCATTGAATTTCAGAATGAAGTGGACATTTCATATATTATGGAACAGTTGTGCCCCGACACATACCTGAATTAACGGGATTTTTGGATGTCAAATGTTCATATCAAAAGAGTTTTTCTCAGTTACACCTAGGTAGCAAAATTGTTGTGTTCGAGGTTGCACCGCCTGGACATACCATTGCTTACAAAAACATTACTAATTTATTAAAAAATAAAAATTATGAATTATGGTTTTTTCTTTGGATTGAAAAGATGATGCTAACTAGATATTTGAAAATTCATTGATGTTCATTGATGTGCCTAAAGTGGTTTTAATTTTATGACGCTAGTCCACGAACTTTTTGATAACCCCTCGTATATAAGATGTGCTGGTACTTGTTACGATGTTGCAGTTTTAATAATCGATAAAAAGTTATGACTTTACAAATATTAAGTTACAAAAATTATCTTGTTTTAACAGATTCTGTATCTATCTGTTATCTGTGCTAGTTGTGTACGAGCAGATTACGTCTTCTCTATATCTTCCAAAAAAGTTTTCATTTAGATATTTTTGTAAAAATAGAGTCGTGTATAGTATGAAGGGAAAAGGTGCAAGTCCTTTAATTAAGTCAAGGACAGCGACTGAACGATTTCAATAAATTGCAAACAAAATGACTAAGTTTAGTGCAAACGGATTGAAAAGAAGACAAATCTAAAGTTAAAGTAAACAAAATATGGCTAAGTAATCTCACTAACGTTAAATCACATCTAAAAAAGAATTTAGCTGTGAAGATTCTTCAAAAGAAACACTGACCTGTACCGGTCGATTTCGAGAAACTAAAAAAGTAGTGATTTTCAAAAATTGTCATTGTGAGATTGGCCTAATTGAGGCCTAGTTTTAAGTTTGTTAAATTAATGATACAACAATTTTCTTTTGAATGATGAAATGACTGTTATAGTTTTTTTTAAAAGATTTTAAAGATCAAAACAAATTGAAACTTTGATGGTATATATTTTTGGAATTAGGGCTGTGAATGATACTGTTATTAAGTTAAATTCCTTTGAATTCATGTGTTTGCAAAATATTGTCATTAATTTATAAAGAAAAGTGTATTTATAAATAAATAATAATTGCTGAGCTTTCTTCAAATCCACATAATTGTACTGGACATCTACATTTATTCAAATTCTTTATTAACAAAAGATTTGCTCGTAGTTAAATACCAAACTAGTAATTAACACAGAATTGTTAAGGTTAAAGTATTTCTTGACTCAAAGTTAAAGAGATTTGGCATTGCATCAAGATATCTTTTTGCTGGAGTTCAAGAGCGCTAGCAACAATGTTAGTTCATATGTCTGGAATACGCATGCTCGGCTTAATGGTCGTGCATTCTAGGAACACTTCACGGTCTAGCTATCTGTGAAAACAACCATAGATAAACTATCCGATAACAATTTCGTTGTGCATTAAATAACACTGTCCATTTCTGTTTGATTCTGAAGTTTCTTTATTTATTGTAAGTTACAAGAAAGTAAACTACACAAGAAAAACTTAGGTCATGTAATGCCAAGATTCAACACATCTACCTTGTGAGTTATACCATCGCCGTAAACCTCACTAGAAATCTCTTTTCTTCTTTTCAAAGTTTGTTGTCAAGGCAAAATAAGCGATCGATACAATGCATTTCCAAATTGTTATAATTTTAATTCTATAAAATACTGTCACAAAAAGAATTAATAACTGTAACTATTAGACTCATAATGATACTGAACTGTGCAACATTTCATTATTCATGTACAAACTGTTATATACTGTTTAAAAAATTTCGATAAACAAAACATCTAGAATGAAAAAAAAAATATGGAACAGTATTCAAGATCGGAAGTCTATAAAATAATACGAATTAGATGCTCAGGAAACAAGAACCTCCAAAACATCAAAGATGGGATCAGGTGTCATGGAGGATAATTAAATTGATTTGATATTTTGTGTTCCAGAAGTCAATACACTGTTATACAACTATAATTTAATAATGCTTCAATGAATCAAAGCTTTCAATTTTCATGACTAACATTTAGTTTCAGTGTATTATTCTAAAAAATTAAGTTAGAAAAAGTAAAGTATTTTTTATCACCTTTTGTCTATCTCTGGTGTAGAACTTTAATGTCCTCGTTCAGGAAACTTTTTAAATTGATATCCCCAGTGTGTGTTTATTCGTTTTAAAGCGCGTGTTAATTATTTCTCTTTGATGATTAGTTTAAGTCTATAATATAAATGCAACTTTAAGCTTTTCTTTAGAATTTTTTTCAATGTTTTGAAATAATATTCTTCAAAGCGTTCAAGGCTTTATGTAATTTGGTTTTTGAAAAAGGTCATACGGATCACCAATCTCTCCTATGAAAACTTTGAGATAATCAGAGCATTTATCTTCAGGACTAAAGGAGACTATATAACCGGGGTACAAGGCTACGTAAATAAAATACCTTATGGCTAGTTGATCGATGAAGTATTTGTCAAAAACTAAAAGAAAATCGATTTTAAAAAGATTTGTTTAAACAACTATAAATGGCTTTGATTTAAAATGTTCAACAAAGAACATTACAACATTGAAAAACATTTGTTCCTTTAAAATTTATTATCTTCTTTAACAAAGTAAAAAATCAATTTACATAAATTTTAGAACAAATGTATTACTTTTAGTAACTTATTTCTTTGAAATTTCATCGAATTATTCAAGCATTTCCAAACATTTCGTTTTTAAATTGGCAGATTACTTGTTTGTTAACCAGTTGATGCAACCTTTGCACATTCCTCATTTAGCGCCTTCGTGACATTGATTCTCTTTATCAAAGTTTTTTCTGAGACTTGTCGAGGCCCGTCCGTAAATGTCCTTCACTTTATGCAAGCAGTTCTAGTTTATTCTTCGGTCTTCGTTCTAATAAAGTGTCTTTAATTTCATTTCTAACAAGCAGTGTAGAAATCTAGATTGAAATTTCCAGATTTAATTGTACGGCAACATGAATTTGAGGTTGGTCAGAGAGTAGTGGTAGAAGTAAACAAAACATGTAAGTAATATTGACAATTTCATTTCTTTTTTATTTATTCTTTCAAGAGGCTGGGTGGTCATGGCCATTTTTAGACTATTTTGATCTCCTTTAGAAGGAGAGCTCCATAAAAAATATAATAAAATGATCATAATTAACTAAAATTTAATAAATTTTTCTTTGCCAAATGATAGTTGACAGCTCAAGATATCATATCTAAAAGAAATAGTTAAATCTGGTGGTTAATAAAAAAAATAATCTGTTGACCCCTAGCCTCCTTAAAATGTTTGAAAGTAAACGCAAAAAAAGTTTTTGTTGCACACGGGAAAAAAGTGGCTCACATGGTATCCATGTGTTTTCTTTTTATTTGAATATTATGCAAAAATTATATATAAATAAACTTTACTTGCGAACATTACAAGAATTTGTTTGCGTGATATTCACGTAATTTTACTTTCGAAATTTCTGTGAATTTTTTTTTTCACAGAATATATATGCATGTATGAACTTCAAAGAAAATTGCTATGAAGGTTTTGTGGAAATCAGCGGTGTTCACAGGCCCCTGTTAAGTCTCATTTTTCTGCTTTGGACACACATGAATTTTCCGTTTACTTGATATCAAATTTAAGCGAGCTGTTTTCCCTGTGTAATTGAAAATAATATAATTTCCATTTCAACAGAAAATGGAAAGACTTTAAAAACATTTCCTTCATTTAAAAAAAAATAATATTAGATAAGAATTTTGGGCACATGCTATTAAAACTCAGTTGATCCCCACATATTAAGAATATGATTTTAAGATAAGATTGTCAAATAAATATAATATAATGTTTTTTAAAGTTATTTCTCTTTTGAATAAAAAGCACAAAAATGCAATATACCTAAGAGGAACTGGAAACCTTTTTTAAATGTAGTTTGGAATATATTCTTACTTAACATTTTGAATAATGATATTTAAATGTTACAAGAAAATGAAGAGACAAAGCAGAGAGATTTCCTCTAAAAGTATGGAGGCAACATCGTCATCACTTGGAGATACTCTCCCTCGACCCATCTTCCACTTTAAATCGAACAAAAGGGTGTATAACTGTACCTGCAAGTGGGTGTACGATTGGCATAAAAGATTGAATTTTCCATGTCATCAGGCAGCTGTATACAGTCGGCACTTTAGAAGACAACACAGCACACCTTCCAATCTAAAGGTTTTTTCCCAGTCTAACATGCGTTATGAAAATAATCCATGGGTTGGATATAAAACAAATTATACTGATTTTTCATTTAAGCAAGACAACATTAAATATTTTTATTTCAAGACACGTTTCAAGCTTTAATGATTCAAATTTGAATAAGATGAATTAAATCTAACTTTGTTTATACAGGTTACTCTCTCTTTCTCTCGTTTTATATCGCTCTTTTTTTCGTTTTGTCGCAGTTGTTACACTTAGGAGAAGTAGAAAATGGAGAACCGAAAAATATCGAGAAAACAGATGAACATTATAAAGAATTGACAAACAGTGAAAGAGTATGTTGTAATTTTTTTCACATCAGACATTTTTGTCTGTAAACGTTTAAATATTCAGTCTTACGTTACGTTACAGTCATTGACTCAGACGAAAATAAAAAAAAATAATAAAATAATATAACAATGAAGAAATCATGTTAATTATTATGTACCCCGAAACTGCTGTGAAATCAGTAATTTATTCGGGGGATTAATTTTCTTGGTATGAACCGACCCATGAATCTATATCCACCACGAAATACAACATTTCACATATTAACCTACTGAAAAATAATTCAACCACGAAATCATATCTACATTATTATTTTTCGCCAAACTTTGAAAATTTGACTCCTCAAAAATATGTGGTTTTACAGAATATCAATATTACTCGAATCAAAACATAATATACTAATACGCTACAAAAAGCATAGGAAGAAAATAATTCAAAATAGTTAATTTTGATTCATTGTAAACTTTACAATACGACGTGGAAATTGTCTTGTTAGACAAAATCTGAAATGTGTCTGGTCATATTCATCAAGGTAAATCATATACTTTGGTAATACCATTATGACGAAATGGCATGACCCTGTTCATCCAGAATGTGTTCTCTTTTGTTTTTGAACATATGTCCATTTAGTTTTAATTTTCAGTTAACACTATTGTCATTATCTCACATTTTTACCATTTGGGATTGAAATATTATAATTGACTTTCTTGATCTTAAAAGTAAGATGGTGATTATTGCAGCCCGAAGGACCGGGCTGCTCTATACATATAAGTTTAAGTGTTGGTGTATGGGGATTGGGGTGGGAGTAGTTATTTAGAATTAAAGGTTTTTTAAACATTGAAAAGATTGTTAATCAGAATGTTCTTTCCGTTTATAAATTACGAGATACATAATACATTTACTTCCATAAAGTGAATCTGTAAAAATATATATGTTTTTCATATTTAATATATACATTTGCTTATCATATACTATCGAAAAAAAACGACAAGTCCCTTTTTTAGAACATCGAATTTTACTTCTCGCATAAAAACGTACTCAGCACAGTTCGTGTTTTGTATTCTAAAATTTAAAATTAATACACTTTTGAATATAGGTGATGCATGTTTTTAACTTCAATTTATATTTTATTCAGCCAACATATACTTTAGGAATGGATCAAGTTTAAAATGGCATCGTTTTTGTTTGATTTTTATCCGACTATAAGTTTTCAAAATATTCGCAACTATCGTCTCAATCAATTGCCTTTCCACACATATCAAAGCGGTTTGATGATCAAGTCTCAATTTCATTGCTTTATACTTTATATATTTCCCGGGCGACAATTGATGGTTACATCAATATTTTCTTGTTGGTTTCTGTTATAGGAAACGTCTGAGAGCACAGATTCTGAGCAAATAGATACGGAAGAAGAAGAACCGATACCGCTACAAAGAGGATTGGAAGGAGACGAAGAGATCTCAAATGAAAAAGTAGGTTAATGAAAAATATTCCAGAATCAGATGTGATAATGAAACATTATGTTAGGGAACGTCCCTAGTTTTTGAATAAACTTTTATCGCTTGTTTGTCAATCTTTTGTAACTTAGATATGATTCCATTTAAGGTAGACGTAAATATCGATCATTCGACGAATCCTGAAGATGAGACAGGAGATCAAGGAAAGATGGTTAGAGAAACCTTATTATACGATAAAAGGGTTATTTATCTGATAAATATATTTTCTAGTCATCAAACCTTTAAGGATGAAAGAAAAAGAAGATAAAGCAAAAGTAAAGAAATGTACTTTGTATGAATGTAGTTTTAGATTATGTCATATTACATGTAATTTATTTATATAAATTCAAATGATAATTTCAATAATTTGCGAGAAAAGAAATCTATTTCATAAAACCAAGTTGAGAAGCTTTGTAAATTTATTGTGAGGGGAATACATCTTTTGAAAATTGAAAAGTCAAATATGTAAATAAAAGATTAACTGATCTATATTACACATCAAGTCATTTGCCACATTGTCGGAAACAGCGCCTGAAACAACGCCTGAAATATTACCTCTACCACCATCTGTTCACACAGAGGAGGAATCAAAGGTAAAAATTTGATTGTAGCATGATTTTTGGGAGTTGAATTATGTTCAATCTTCCATGGTCGCCACGCAATTTCTAGCGCAGTTTTACAATGAATTATATAGCGTCTGTCGTGGTGCTTCTGTGTCAGCCGATTTACTCCCCTGTGATATTAAAAATAAACTCGCACCATTCTATATAAACTCGCAGAAACGTCCGCAATAAAAAGCGTCCATTTCATTTTTGTGAATAAATCTAATTTTCATAAATGATTTGAAAGTAAATTAAATTGAATTTTATTCAATTTAACTTGAATAACATATTTTTATCATATTTCCTAGAAATGACTCATAAATTTGATAATAGTCCCAGTTTTCCTTCATTTATCAATTGACAATCCTCGGCTGACTCCACTACGCTTCAGTGCTGTTAAAAGGAATGATAAGATGTAGGAAAATCTTTGGAAAGGGTCGGAATCATTTAAAATAAAGCTTTTGTCTGCTGTCAGTGTAAGAGGCTGTGAAATACATGTAATGTCAAAAAGATCGTTAAGGTTTTACATAACTTCTTTCAATTTGCATCAGCAATGAATAGACAGAACAATGCTTCGTTTAAAAAATAGTACGGAAAAAAATCACGGTCAGACATTTTTTTGTTCTGAAAAGTAAAATGGATCTGTTAGACTGGACAAAGTTTTGTCAGACCAGATACATACAACTCATTTTTTTACATTGGTAAAGGAAAAAAATATAATAGTATTTAAATGCTATTCAAGTTTTTTTGATACTCGATATCACGATTTCAAATGAATTAATTTTTAATTTCATGAATTTATCAGCAATTAGTTGGTCACGTGTTCATCACTAGAACTGAACTTTAAATATCCGCGTGGCTTTAATAAATAATTTATAAAACAATTAAAATGAATGAATACATGTGCATGCAGACACAATGCTATAATAATCCAAATTATCAAAACATATCGTTCCTCATGTTTTATCTTGTAGTAGCTCGTTAAACTATGTCTGATTTTTAATTTCATTTGAGTTAAATCAAAATCACAAAAACTAAGTGTCACTCGCATGGCGCAGTTGTTAAAATAGTTTGCTCTAGCTAGAGATTCAAAGTAATTGTTGATTCCTTGCGTAGCACGTTCCTTTAGGATGCATTTTGAGATGAACTCTTTGATGAGGCTATAATAAACCGAAATACCATTTCGCTGAAGGTGCTGGCAAAAAACACCCCTTACTGCTCAATGGTTCTGAGTGCTGTGTATGGGTAAAAATTTATAGACCTACAGTAGCTAGCTCCATCGGCAAGTGGTAGAGTCTCGATATGATTTAAAAATTTTCGAATGTAAAACGAACAATATTTAAAGTATTCAGACATACTTCTATTTAGAAATTACTTGAAATGAAATTTAAAATTATTGAATATATAAGGATACAATTGATAAAAAAGATAAGCACAGAATTCTATAAAAATTGATTATTGTGTCCAAAAAGAACCATTCATACCCAAAATAGAAAAGCAAATGCTTGTTTTCATCAGAGAAAGAAAATGACAATCTAGTGTCTGTTGATGGTAACATCGAATATAAAGAGTGTTTGTTTCTTTGTTTGGACCAAATATCTTGTACACATTCAAAAGAGTAATAAATGGTACTGAAAGAAGTTTGAAACTTATCTACACTGACTGACCTGTATCTAAAAGTAGCTGCAGAACTGTAGCTCTCCAGAAAAATATTTTGACAGGCCCCAGAGCTACAGAGCCACCCATTGTAAAACAGTACATTTATTGAGCACGAAAAATTAAGCTTATTTCTGGATTAATTCTTTCTAATTCTCACCTCAAACGTGAAAAAGATTTATAAAAACTTTTCCTCCTCTATGAAATTCGCTTATATTTGACATTTGCACGAAGTGCGTTGGACCAAATTATCTTGCAAACAAAAATTGCAGCGCAGCATAAACAGACGACATTTAATATGATGATCCAGAAGGGCTATTAACAACAATTATAAGGAATGTTTTGTTGTGGAAACAGTGAAAGAATATTTTCGAACATGTTAGTAATGTTTTGATGTGACAGTTAAAAAAAACATGGAGAAATAAATCGAGAACCAGCAAACGCTGTAAATATAGTAGTAGTAAATATATACAGTTTTTTCAATGGGTGCCACTGTAGCTCTCCGGTCTATCAAAATATTTTTTTCGGAAAGCAAAAGTTCTGCAGCTAATTTAAAAGCAGTACCATGATCTTCGCTATTCAAATGCAATTGAATTAATTTTTAATGGTTCGTGTTGTATCTCTAACAAATGAGTTCTAGCTGACTTAAATCTGAAAGCATGAAAATGTTCCTCTACTTCCTGTGAGATCTTTCAGATTACAATGTTCATCTCCTATGAGTACTTTCAGTACTTTAATATTTACATAACAGATATTCGTGACTCAACATTCGCAAGGAGAAAATGCGTAAGTGTTTTAGAATTTTCAACATTGAGTTGTTTACAATAATTGTCAATATTGCACTTAAATCTGCCTTTTCAAGACATTTAAATGTGCATTGGTCGGCCTAGCCTGGTGAAAATGTGCTTCGTTTGTGATTAAAAGGTTGTGAGTAAAAGGTCAGAGAGGCAAAAAATAAATACAAAAATTGTCAAGTTCTGAGCACTTTGCAGGTGAAGTTCTGCATTTTTCCGGATGCGAACGATAGTTTGAAACAAGACTCCTTGTCACGAAAGGCGTTAGCTCGATAAAGAATACTTGTTTCTCAATGGTTTTGATTGACATGAAAGTTTAAAGCTGCCCACGGGAATAACAAAATTACTTACTTTCCATTATGTCCAAAAATAAAATGATTAAAAAACATGCTCACGAACGGATTTGATGTAGATACCGATGATATCGACAATATCATGCTTATAAGACTTAGTACTACCGGTATGTCGATATGGAAATATAATGGCAATAATGCATCGTTACCGATATTGAAATGTAAAACTTATTTTCAACTTGATATTTAACATAATTATTGAAAACAAACAGCGATGTTGATATCGATTCATTTTTGACATGAATATGTAAATAAATATAGGGTCAGAGGTTGTTCTGTTTCAGAAGTTAGGTTTAGGTTAGCGTAACTGTGAAAGTTGGTGAAATATATCTTAAATAATCACGATTCAATATCAATATCGTCTATATCAGCAGCATAGCAAGGTTATTACTCGGAAAGTACAAATACACAAGTCTTGTATGAAGAAATGCAATCAAAAGAACCTTGTTAAAAATGAGTGGATATCGATATCAAGGACAATGTTCGTCAAAGCACACATTTACCACAATAAAGACTTTCTCAACCAAGGGTTGTGCAAACATTACTTTATATTTACTCTAGAAAAGAGAACTTAGAAAACTGATAATATTCAAATTAATCACGTCGCAGCACTGTTAAGGCTAACTATAAAAGAAGTCAATGGAATGTAGACGTGCTAAAAAATTGGAACTATTTAAAATTGAATTTATTTGTATGAAGCCGCTTTATTATTACATACTTTTATGCAGTAAATAATAAAAAAAAGACTTAAGTAAATAAAAAGTGGAATAAAAAATTAAGTTTGTATCAAATTGTGAAGTTTTGATATTTTAACACCCTTCGTCGCAGTCGAACTTTTTAACACACACACCATTTCCTATTTCTAACGCAAAACCACGCATTTACCATTTCTCTGCAATCACGCATTTTCACGCACTTTAAAAAGCTCATTAACTATTCAATTCATTGCCTAATTCCAACTTTTTTTACAGTTGCTTAAATATCATAGATTAAGAAAAGTTTTTTCATAAAAATATTACGTCATTATATTATTTACGCTAAACTTACGCTAAAATTTAGAGAAAATTGTACCCCGCTATAAATTGTTTGCGGGGAAATGGTAACGTAATATATCTATGACGTGGGGATTCAGTGTAAATAGCTTAACAGTTCTGTAAGTTGTAAAGTGTTAATACTAAATAAAAGATGCATTGCATTTAGTAATTACTCAAGCCCTAGAGGGGCTTGAGTTTTCTAATACGATGCTAGGTCATCGATTTACTCAGATTAAAAACACAAAAATAAATATATTATTTTTGTAGATAAAAATATTTCAGATTTCCTAGAAACAAAAATGAAGCTTATCCTGAAAACCTCTGTATATTCAAAGATATTAAGTGTTTAATGTCGGATTCTATTCTATGGCGTATAAACAATGAGTGAAGCTCCGCAGCCTCAACAGTTTTTATACAGAGATTTTGCGCTTTCCTTTGCGTAGGGATCTCAGGTTAGTTTTTACAGTCGCCGACAAAGCATCCTTGGACGAGTCCACTGCAGACTCTGAAAGGTGAAGCAGGTTACCCCATCGTTAACAAATTCTACAATGCATGTCCAGAAAATGTATGGCTGTACCCCCAACTGAAATTGCTTTTCACGGGCCTGCAAATGATGCGTACTTGGTGTGACAGTACTAGTGATAGCACATGATCAATGTTAAATTCTCATATTATTTTAAGCTTTGGTAACGGAACCTATATAGCTTCTTTTGGATTCGTACGGAATATGTATTAGATCTGTTAGATGAAGCCCATCGTCTCAAGCCACGGTCCGGAGTAGAATCGTACATCGTTGGCCGTGGTTTGCAACGATGGATGAACCTGAAGTCCCCCCCCCCTCCTCTTCCACTTTGAAAAAAAACTTTTCTATAGGCTTGTAGAAAACTATTTAGATTGATGTATATTTTGAATATGATGTACGTCATTAAGCAAAAAATATAAAACCTTGTATAGTTTGATGTATACTAAATGTCTACATAAAAAAAATATTTCATTCAATTAGGAAACGGCATCGTTACTATATTCTCTATAAAATATTCCTGAAAGTGTGTCACGTAAATTCATCTTATAAAGTAGTACGATAAATTATATTTCTTCTAATTAAATTTAATATATGAATTTTGTTTCATGTACATGTAGTTTATTCAACAGAAGATTGAACTCAATAGCCCTCATCTTATACATGTACCATTTAAGGATATTAATGACTTCCTAATTGACTTTCTACAGCTTGAGTATCTTTGACGTTTTGTATATACTGGTTTTTTTTATAGTCATTGTCAGGAGCCATTGATTCTGATCAGAGACCCACGGAAGAGAATGAAAGGGATGAAAGTGGCGAAGAATCTGGAGAAATGCCAGAAAATGCTAAGGAAAAAGTAAGATCTTTAATGATAAGTTGTAAATCTAAGAATTAGATGTAAAATTATATGTTCCCTCACAGTCTCAACACTAATATATTATAATTTAATTTTTTTCAGGATGAAGTTAATGAGGAAAATAAAAACTTGTCAAAAACCTTAACTCCAAGCGAGGTCTGTAGCCTACTTAAACTAATTTGCACTTTTGATTTTATATACCATTTATGTAATTTATACAAAAGTTAAAATAACAGAAATGGGAGAAATTGCTACTTCTGTTTAAACATCTATTACAATTGTAACAGTTAAGAGTTAATATTTTGAAGAAAGTTTCATTTGTAATCCATTTCTATTAACAATTAATATTCTAATCATATGTAATAGGATTTTCAAAATAGTGAGAGACTTCCGAGACCTTTCCATGTCTTTGAAATTGAAGGAGATATTTCACGAGAATCATATCAAAACGGTATGCTTTCAAACTTTTTTGGAAATATAATTACAAATAATGGTACAAACGTGACTAACTTCATTAGATTAAATGACGTACAATAAATTTTGCATAAAACAAATAAAAAAAGCGCAGATATATCCAAATTACCCATGGAAAGGAAATTATAAGACATCAGTATGAACACATTTTCGTCATTTTATTTCGCATTTAATTTGAAGTTCATTTATTCAGAAACAAATCTGTATATTCTATTCATTAAAGATATGCATCACTACAATGAAAATCGAACACCAGTGTTTTTGGACACATTTGGCATTCACGCAACTTTTCCGTGGTTAACTGTTGAATGTGATAAGCCCTGTCTGATCAAAATTATTTTTTTTTATACTCAAAGTTTATTAACTCAAAGTTAATTAAAACTTGGATATATAACAATTAAAGCGGTTTGTGATATTTTCTGATGCCTTTAGTATGGCTAACTAAATTGACAATGAAAATATTCAGAGAAAAAAAAAATAAATAAAAAAAAAAAAGAAAAGAAAAGGTCTGTTTTACGAACGGGACAGCGTCTAATAAACTCAATTATGATTTAATATTGTTGAAATATCATTAAACATAACATATTTATATAAAGAATGTTAATTTCTTGGAATATATTTGGTTCAGTTATTTGTAGTTTGTATATAGGATATTTCAAATTTCGGATACACTACGTAGAAGAGGTAGAAAACCACTGTTCTCTGATGAGAATAGGATATTTCTATTCATGACGTTGTAATAAATCTAACGTCGCCTCACTTGGTTTTGTAGGCTGTCTATACAAAGTGCTTATATTTCTCGTAAATAATGTTATATTTTTTTTAATTTTGAAATTAAATTAATTAAAATCTCACAAAAATTTCTTTGCACACACATGGCAATATAACCTGATAAGAAATAAAAGTCTGTCCATGAACATGTGATAAAAATTCTAAATGCATCATTTTGACGTCATCTTGAAATTTGCGCTATACCAGACTGGCTCGGGTGGATTGAATATACATATGCATTAGATAGTGTTTCAATTATTGAATATTTTCTCAATCATCGTTTATGTTAAGGAAGAAACTCCAATCGGCTCCTTAATGTGTTCTGTTTTATTCACAGAGTTGTTAGGGAAAGTAGTACGTGTTGTCGGGACCGGCTATTATTGTGGTACAGTAAAAATAAAAAGTCCGATTGGTGGAATGGTTAAACAAACTCAGGAAAAGAAAGAGTTTTCTGATTTAGAAGAAACAGCAGTTAAATCTCCATATGGATTGATTGAGAACGAAACAAATCGGACTGAAATGGAAAGTTTAAGTCAAACTGAAAACAACTCTGGTGATGAACAGGAAACATCATATAAATCTGATATGGTAGCAATAGACATGGAAGGAAAGCATGTTGACAATGCTGAGGGAAGGTCTGAAGATAATGGAGGAGTTTTTAATGGTATGATGTGATTTATTCTTTTACTGTTTAATGTTATACTTTAATCTAAAAACATTGAAATGAATATGATTACTTATTGAAGACACCAAAATAGAGAAGAAAACAGGATGATGCAGATGACAGACAAAAATTCTTTGTTTTCTCTGTAAAAGACAAACACTCACCCTAACAATTAATTTTCAGTTTCAGCATGTTCCGATTGAGACAAACATGAGCTCGTAATATTTCAGTAATCAAGATGATTTTCTTTTATAGAATAATTTGTTTTTGTATCAATACTTGAAGCAAAATCATGATTATGTGATTGTTTGTAAGTGTATAAAGTCCCTCTTAAGAATGTTTATATTTAAGTTTGTAAACCACTGCTTATGATATTTTCTTTTGAAAAATAGTATCACAAAAGCCAATATGTATTTTCACAAAATACTTTCAAGATCATCCGAATAGAGGAAAAGGCATTGTAGAGAAAGTATACTGGGATAATGGTGAAGAGGAAATGGAATGCGACAGAGAAAAACTTCTGCTGTTCGATATTGGTGTGTGAATTGATAACTTTACATTAGCCTTTTACTCAACGTCCTTTTAAATCCGCATTCCATTTCTTAATGGTATAAATATAAGTGTTATTTTTTGATTTAATGTATTGTGCAGAATTTTTTCCCCAAGAAATGTAAATTGTATATATTTTACTATTACATAGAAAAAGCCCATAATTATCCATTTATACTATATCATATAACGTCTTGCCACATAATCCTACCCTGATGAGGTATGATAAGAATTTCTTCATACTGAAGACAAGAACAATGATTCTAATTTTAAATATGATTGTGGTTGTAAAATTTATTTGATTATTTTTGCATATCGTGTCCTTGAAAAGGATCTTTTTATTTAATTTCTACAGTTGTATATGACTATGCACACCCTCGGTTAAATGTTGTTTTATTTATAGAAGAAACACATGAAGACATAGAATGCGATGGTTGTAAGGAAAGTCCCCTGCGAGGAATCAGATGACATTGCGTGTCGTGTCCGTACATTAATCTCTGTACAAAATGTTACATGGCGGATAAACACAACAGAGATCATATCTTTAGACGAATAATGACTTCAGGGTTCAAAGGGTATTTGTAATACTAAGTAATTTATAAATACGTTCTATCTGATACTAAATCAATAAAATACTTTTTTTTATATTTTGCTGTTTTATACCTATTATACCGGTATTTTGCTGTTATAGACCTATTATGCCCAAACGATCTAATAGTGAGGAAAAGGGTAAAAGAAAAGAAATCTGCAGAATAACAAAAGATTGTGATGTTACTGCTGTGACCACAAACATGAAGGGTATCTTATAAACCTCTTCTCAAAAACTATATATTTTTTAAAGGGACATGTGATACAAACAAAGAATGGATGCCTGCATTGGTTTACATTTCTGAGCCTATTTTTGTTGCAAATGATGCATATAATAAATTTCCAAAATATTCAGAAATTGTAAACCTTCTTTGATATTCAAAATTACCTTTCTGCAATCATCCTTATTAATCTAATCCATTTATGTGAAACTTGAATTGAAATATTTAAAAGTATACGGTTTAACTTGTTCATTTCACTAACTGAAACATGAGAAACATGACTCAGGTTGTTATTATCAATATTGAAGAAAAAGTTAGTTTGTATCATCTGTCCTTAAGAAATGATTAATAATTGGTCCGCAAAACATTTATAATGAAAATATAATATTCTAATTTTACTGCAAATCATTATTATTTGTTCCTTTCCTTTCTTTTAATAATTAATTTACACTTAATTTTTCCCATGGCTTATTTTATCTTTACATGTATGACTTTAAAATTCGAAAAGTATTTTTTTTTATTAAAATAATTTGATCATTTGAATATGAAAAATGCTATTATCACTGTTTTTATAAGGTAAAGTCTTGAGGTTTTGGAAGGGAAAGGTATCTATGTATGAATTAGACGGGAAAAATTATCCATTTCAACTTAATACAGAAGAAGAACTGATTGCAAATGATACTGTCCTAAATATGCTTTATCTACCTTCATTGACTGTTGGTAAGAATTATAGATTATGTTAAGTATTATTTAGAGTACGAGTTTCCTACTGTATCAAAGATACAGGGCGGGGCTTGAGGCGAGAGCGATAGCTCGAGCCGGGTCCCGCCCTGTATCTCTGATACAGTAGGAAACGAGTATTCTAAATGACTTGTGACATGACCTTTCTAATGACCTCACCAATTTACATTCATATTTGGGTACACAGCTCTCAATTAATTAGACGATTTTAGCAGGAATTTGATTTAGTATCCCATTTTAAGCATTCGCAACTGAAATGCCGTGCAGGTAATTATTTACTATTATTTTAAAAATAATTATTTGAGGGATGCATTATATAATTTGTTTTCCAAAAAATTTATTTAGATTTATTTAGATTTGATTGGGTAGGTTTCTTTTTTTTCTCAATTCAGCTCTTGCTGACATTTTTTTTTATTTAAGCTATGAATTAATGCAAAACATTTTTATATATAAGAATCATATTTTGAAACAAAAATGCTTCGGGGATATCGTATACTGAGAGAAACCTCCGACAATATTCTCTAACCTGTAATCATATACAAAATTGAAATAAACAGATGAAAGAAGGGGGGGATTTTACTTCAAGTTTTTAATAAAATGTAGAGTAACCAAAGGGGGGTCCAGTACTCACACTTGCCCCCCCCCATCCCACCCAACTTAAAGTTTTTTTTTCTTTTTTCGCTTTTGTAAATTATTTTTGCCAATCGTATATACATACTCTATTTAATTTATCAACAAGTAACGATTTCACGCACATAGTGTCTTGGTTGATTATAAACCTACCCCCGCCCCCAAATACGATTTTCAGGGTTTTTTTAGGGGGGTCAAGATAGTCCTTTTTGATCTGCCCCACTCCCTCCTTTCTAAATTTTTTGAATCCGACATTCATATAAGTTTATTTTGTAAAATTTTATTCTTAATAAAATCACCTCAAATTTTGAGTAATTACTAACAGTGCTATCATGCGAATTGAACGATTGTTGTGTCTGAATATGAATACAGCTTTCCGTCATCGCTAAAAATAAACCGTACTGTATCTTTGATATTTTGCAGATACAGTACAGTTTCTGCTCATTTGCATAAGAAACGCCCACAAAAAGTGTTCTGTATCGCAGTTACAGTACGGTTGACTTCAAAGGAAAACTCGCCGGGTCATGTCACAATTAACATATAGCTGAGTTTAAATTGAAACTACAAATAAAGATTCATATTAAGTTCCACTGAATGATTCACTGAATGTTTTCTTTACTGTTCGTTGAAATAATAACAGCAGAGAAGGAGAAATTTCCGGAGTGTTATTCATTATTATATTTAAGAAGAAGAGTAAATAAGATGTACATACTTAAATTCCCATGAAATTTTTTTGAAAATTTAAATTAACAAAAATACATTGTGATTTTTGACTTTGCATCTCAAATCTGAAGACCAGGTATTGATATACAAGTTTAACTATGATGTACACCGTAAGTGTTCTCTATTTAATGCCATTTGGGGCCAGTTTTCATTGTGAAATGTGGAGATGACGAATTTTACTTAAGCTGAAAGTCCATTAAGCAATATAGATTGGAAGCAGAGCACATTTAAAACACCAGAGTTGGGATCAGGTTCCATGTAGGACTGTCGACCTATCTGTCATCTATCGCGCGTTCCTGGTCATTATCGTAATATAACCAGAAAAATCCGTTCGCAATAAAATGAGTAAAAATGAATGTCGTAATTATTGTTTCAGAAATGGTTAGAAACATCCCAGGTATAAGGGTGATGATGGAGGATCCTACAAAAGAAAATACGGAAACAATGGAGACATACATTGTTGGAACCCTTGTAAAATATAAGGAACATGATGGCAAAGTGAGTGCATATATTTAAATTACGTATATGTTGAATAGTAATTAATTACCAATATGATGATACAAGTAATTCCTGTTTCGTCTGTAAATACAAATAAAAATCAGATTTTAAATGTATGCAACTTTGTTTCAAAATTTGTTTTGATTAAACCGTCGCTGATTATAAAAAAATAAAAATCCATTAAGTGTTTAGGTGAACGGATATCTAGTAACTTAAAGTGAAAATTTATAGAAATACAGATTATGTGAACGGAAAAGAAAGAAGGGTATGTTTTAAAAAATCACAGTGAAAAGTTATATGTAACCAAAAGTTGCAGTTAATGTTTTTGAAGAAACACACATTATTTTTGGTTTTATTTCTAAGAATTTTTTTTTTCAATCCACAAACATTCACAATGAAGCTGTACACTCTTCTTATTGGAAATAAGATGTTAATTTCATGACAATCACTTTCGTGATTGCCCTAGCTTGCATAAACTAATGACTCCATTGTCCATTTCGTATAATACTGTTGGGATCTTCATGTATAATGCCCTAAAGTAGTCGGGTTTGACACATAGAACACTAGGGTGAATGCACTATGTGTCAAACTCTGACCACTATCTATGCGAAAAATACAAAACTCAACACTATTGTTTACGATATGCTGAGTGTTGTATAAAATCGATATTTTTTTTATTTCCGGTGATTCATCACTTCTTAAAAATGTTAGCACACACCTATTAGGATGTCACGTTGTGATACAATGATTCCTAATCTATTTCAGTGTTTCAGGCATTATACATACGAGGGTTATCCCAAAAAGTCGTAGACAATGTTTATAATTTTTTAAACATGCAACCAATACTAACGAAATTTTGCATAGACATAATATATCTAATGTTCTTAAAATTGTGAATTTTAAATATTTATCTTTCATAATGATATTAGGACGATTTATATGAAGGCCGATAAGGCCAGTCGGCGCACGAACAAAATTCGGAATAATTCATGCATATTACTATTACATTTGCTTTTATTTCTTTAGTACTATGTAATACGTTGAACTGAAATCTAAATCTGTGAAACCAGAATAAAAATCTTTATAAAATTTCAAAATTTCATTTAACTAGCATTAGAAACAGACGATTGGCGTCATAATATTCATAGTATCGTTGGAATTGAGTTAAATGAAAATGACGTCGTCAAACGCGTAACCGGCGCACGGAGATTTAATATATTGTGTTGGATTTGGTGTACCACTTAAAAAAATATTGAATGTTAATAGACGCGAGAGTACGAAAGCCCAGAAGGCTCATTCGAGATTCGAGTTTCAAAACACGAGATTCGAAATTCGAGATTCAAAATTCGAAATTCGAGATTCAAAATTCGAGTTTCGAGATTCAAGATCCAAACGAACCAATCAAAAGCGGACTCAACATTTGATTACTTCCCTTTATTATGTTTTTACTATCAAGAAATAGTTCAATATAATTATATCAAATGGGTCATTTGATTAAATTACAATGCAAGAAAAAGTGTTATATATATTAGAAGGAAATTTAAATAATTAATGGATTTTTGATCAGCAAAAAATATTTCAATTTATATTATAGATTCTTAAATATTAAATAGATTTCATATATCAGGAGTATATATATTTTTTAATTGTCTACTAAACTTAATTTTTATGCATTTCCTCTGTTAAGAAAACCACAGGTACTTGTGGACGGTACCCCCCCCCCCTCCCCCTCGATATTCAACCCTAGGGCTTATTGGACATTTTTTTCACAAGTTATATTTATTAAACTTATTCATCATCCCCAGAATAATCGCTCAACACCCCCCCTAAATACCCACTATACATTATAAGAGAAGGATATGCCACTCCAGTCTGTTTACGTTGTACCCCCTCTGGTATTAAATGCATTTATTTTGTTTTAACTTTAAATGTCGATTCACACATATACATATACAATGTTTTTCTGTCTTAGTCCTTGCTATCGGACTGACTCTGCATCACGTAATAATCCCACATTTTCTCCGTAAACAGCATTCTTTCTTATAAAGTGGGGTAATAAATAGTGTTTTTTTTTTTGCTTTGTTTTGTTTTTTTTTATTTTGGTTGAGCGATTATTCTGGGGGTTTTACGCCAGCGATTTTTTCGTATTGTAAGGTTACACATAACAGAGAAATAAGCCCTGGGTTTCAATATCAAGGGATTGGGGTGGCGGATGGGGGGGGGTCTTGTCCACATGTACCTGTGTTTTTCTAAAAATTAAGACAAGAAACATATATTAACATATATATTGCGTCAAAAATCGGCCGCAAGCCAATTAATTGTCCCTTATATGAAGCAACTATAGCTAAAGACTATGGTGATCTGTTTTTAAAATATCTTATATTTATCTGTTAAAATATATCCTCGTGATATTAAAAGGTTGTGTTTGTTAATTATATAATGCATGTTCAGTATTAACCCCTGGTACTCTGCGTCAACAACTTTTGAACCGTCGGCCTGTATGGCATTTATATTAAAAGTTTAAAACTAAAATTTAATGTAATCTACAACTAGATATGCAGTGTAGTTTAATTTAATAAAAATGAAACAAATATGTTGGTATCCTTGCTCTCTCTTAGAGGAAAAAACTAAAATCCCTCTAGATCCGCCACTACATTTCTTCTCTTTGAGTTGTAGCGGGAAAATTCTTGGCACATTGTAAAACGTGCATTATCCTCGTCTGCTAAGAGCCAAATCTTGTAATATTCTGTAGCCTACTAAGTCTTTTAATGAAATAACATTTAACCATGTTTTTCAAAATGTTTATATATGTACATATGTACACGTCATTTTAAAATAAATACGTACAACAAACCCCGTTTGAATAGAGAAAGTAAAATTGTGTAATATACATAACGCCGTCTTTGCTTTAGACTACGTCCAACACATGTCCTAATTTTCTCCGCACCTCAAACGTGTAAGTTTGGATGAAATATTTACCTCATTCTTCATAAGAATTTTTAATTTTATGTTTATTGTGCGTTATTCTTTAATTTTTAGACGCTCTTTTTAATATTATTATATTAATGTTAAATATTTTTTATTTAAATTGTCCGCAGAAACGCACAGCTACCTCAAACTTTCATATCATATAACCGACCACCTCCTAGCGGCCGCTAATTAGTCGTCAATGCAAAAATATAATCATATACTCCTGATATATGTAATCTATTTAATATTTAAGAATCTATAATATAAATTGAAATATTTTTTGCTGATCAAAAATCCATTAATTATTTAAATTTCCTTCTAATATATATAACACTTTTTCTTGCATTTTAATTTAATCAAATGACCCATTTGATATAATTATATTGAATTATTTCTTGATAGTAAAAACATAATAAAGGGGAGTAATCAAATGTTGAACCCACTTTTGATTGGTTCGTTTGGATCTTGAATCTCGAAACTCGAATTTTGAATCTCGAATTTCGAATCTCGTATTTCGAAACTCGAATCTCGAATGAGCCTTCTGGGCTTTCGTACGAGAGTCATATAAAGTGAAAAAAATCCAGGAAACCCTTTTAAGAATTTTTTTCTATAGTGTTTAATATTTGAAACTACGTTCATATATACATAACATTTAAATATATTCAAGAACAGCGTCAATGGCCGAAAGGGTAGCACTTCTAACTGACAATCTCTTGCTTGAGGTTTCATCCCTGGCATTGGTGATGTAGGATTTTAAATAGTCAATGAAGCCGTGATATATTCAGCGTAGTATGCTTACTCTATGTAAATCGATATAACACCATGCAAAAAAGTTATTTTATTATAAGGGCATTAATCAACAAAGAGACAAAAATTATAATTAATTGAAAGACTTCATATCCTGGTAGTTCAGGGATGTGATTACATAGACTGTACTTTAATTTTTGGGGGAAGTCTTAACTACTTGCGAAATTTATTAGTTTATATCAAATAGTCACTTTGAATGTTTGATGCAAAAATCCAATGGACACATAACGAGAATTGATCATTTAATTTATCGTAAATACTTTTCTATGGTCAACTTCCCTTACTTATCCAGCAATATACCTTCATCACCTGCATACGGAGTATATATATCTCAGTTGATTCGTTACGCAAGAGCATGCTCTACGTATGAACAATTTCTAAAACGAGGTAAATTATTGACAAGCAATTTGATGAAAAAAGAATATCAGCAGTCTCGTTTAAAGTCATCATTTCGTAAATTCTATGGTCGAGACAAAGACACTGTCAGCAAATACAGTTTATCATTGGGTCAAATCCCATGGGGATCCGGGTTAGAATAGGTCCTCAGTACCCCCTTGCTTGTCGTAAAAGGCGACTAAATGGGGCGGTCCTTCGGATGAGACCATATAAACCGAGGCCCCGTGTCACAGCAGGTGTGGCACGATAAAGATCCCTCCCTGCTCAAAGGCCCTAAGTGCTGAGCATAGGCCAAAATTTGCAGCCCTTCACCGGCAATGGTCAGTGAAATATTCTGGAGATGGACGTTACACAGTATACAATCAATCAATCATTGAGTCAAATGCTGACTGACGTTTTTCATACCAATTGTTAGTCCATTATTTATACTCTGAATTGACGACATATTTTTTTCCGTTATTTCCTGATCATGACAAGGAGCACAGGGCGGGTGTGACCGGTCGGCAGGGGATGCTCACTCCTCCATGACAGCTGATCCCGCCCCTGATGTTTTGGGGGTCCGTGTCTGCTCTGCTCTTATTTTATATTGTTTTATGGACTTTGAGATTGAATACTGTTCGTTATCTCCATATCCTTCTTATCGTATATTATGTATTACAGTAGCTTTAGATATAATCAACCTTTATAAATTATACTAGATAAAACAGTTTTCGTTCTATTAATACTTCGTGGGTATGGTAAGGGCGCATATAAATCATTTCTCGGGAAATTTAGACTTTTTAAAGAAAATTAAGTTTGATAATTTACCATGACCGCTAATAAAGGTAAACTATTAATTATATTTTGCATAAAGATAGAAGTGACTCTGACGCAAAGACATGCGCAATCATCCCGCCATCATGTGAATTTCATTAATAGCGAAATGTTCCTTATTTTAAAAAACGGTAACAGAACAACTTTACCCCGAAGTTAAATTATTTCTTTGAGTAAATAATATAGTCAAAAAACATCTATTTTGCCTAATATATGCTGCTAGAATCCCAATGTACTTTCAGTAAAATAATTATTCCACACATTTGCACGAAACCTTACCCGATGTTCTGGATTTTATATATAGGACCCGAGATTTTTCAAAAACCATGCTTAACTCAGGATTCTAGTATAGCACTTTCCAAATATTTTAGAAGGGAAACTTTCCATATGTACAAACCTTATGTTTTGAAACATGCAGCTTATTTTTGTACTGTTGCATTATGTTTGTCTCGAATGACCCTGATACGTATATAGCTGACTTCCCTCGAAAGAGAATACAATCGATGAAAATAAATTAGCATACCCGTTAAATTAAATGAAATCCATAGGAATTTCACATGATATTCACGATATTTGCTTTTAAACTCCATTTTACGTAACTTTGTACATGTCGTCTTCGCTAAATCCTCTTTACACGACATCATCAATTCCGAAGTTATTTGATGTACACATATGACGACATCGGTGGTGGATTTTAATCAAAATGACAGATACAACATGACAAAATTAAAATATTTTATTCTGTTAATGTTTACACGTTTCTGGTATTTTTCTAGAGATAAATTACATCTTTATGTATAACACAATATAACACAAACTTGTGTTCTAAAATTAATGTCATCTCGCCTACCATGACGTCATAATGTATCAGTGATTTAGTCAAAGGGAGAATATTCTGTATGCTTCCTTATCAGTCCTGCGTTGTTATTTGATCAAAAAGATCATTAGATACATGTATCTAATAAGATAAAATTATTGTTTATACAGTTAAATAAAAGAAACTGGACTTTATGTTTAAGCTGGAACTGCAGATCAAATGGGACGGAAGCGACAACAATAACCCAAAAGAAGAGCAGTACTGTGTACCTGGAGAGGAAAGTCCTTTGAAATTATTTGATGCCGGTGAGAACTGAATATAAATGAAGGCATAACATACTCACAGATCAATTGCGTCTGTTAGTCAAATAACATCTGAAAAAGCTTTTCTTTGAAGTTGTTCTTTTCTTAATTTGGTATTTTGAAATTCATTACTATTCGTTTTATAAATATGTAATTAATGAAGTTTGTAAGAACATTTTCCAAAAGTTGTTTTTTGATTCATTAAAATCAAATAATGCTATACGCAAAAATGTTTAATGTTTATTTTTTTTTATTTTCTGAAAACGTTTTGTCTCTCTATTATCATCATATGTATTTTTATGAGAAGTTTTGTCTTAAAGAGCGTATTTAAAGTAAAAACATGAAGAGTCGTCCGAGAAAAAAAAGGTCCTTTTCTCATAAGATTTGTCGGAAAAATTAACTATCCGCAGGTATATTTTCCAATCTTTATAATAAGGAAACCATCCAAAGCGCCACTTAATATTTCCTCTTATAATCAGATTTCACTAAAACATGATTGTATTTTTAGCTCACAAGTTGGCTTTTCTGACCAAAATTTGTCCCTTTGCTGTTGTCGTTAATATCATTGTCGTTATTAACTTTCACAAAAGGTGCCACAGTGCATCCTTGGGTGAAGGAAATTCAAATGTGCTCAAATGAATGGCCACGCTTCTTCCACGGGGAGGTAATTATGATATCCTGTTTCCTGTCCTATTTATCGAACATCATCAAGTAGCATAAATTCAAGTTCTTACGAACTTCATGGGCAGGGAAAACATTTTAAAATCTTTTTGAGAACAGCAAAGCTGAGGTAAATGTTATATATGATTGCATCACCAAGAAGTGTAGATTCAAATTAGTTAAAATCACGTTACAGAGGAATACATAGAAACAAGTCTTAGAAATTTTATTTTCGAGAACAGGAAATTCATAATTAAACATATTAATATGCAGGCATCCTTTGATAGTGTAGATTCAAGTTTTCAAATCATAATCCACTGGGGATAAGAGAGACCGTACCAGAGCAGAGAATTATAGTTAAAACAAATATAAAGGATACATCGATTAAAATCATTTTAAGAACAGCAACCACTATAATATTTTAACTTTTTAATACTGAATTGATTTCTGCTTTATCCTATTAAAGTGCTCAGGTGAGCGACATAGCCTCTGGACCTTTTGTAAGTTGTAATTTTCATTTTTTGAGATCAGTTGAAGACGCATTAATCGTGTACATTTACATATTTGCACAGTCTTTTTTTGTTTATATCATACATGGATTAAATGCAGAAACGCTCTTTAATACGTTTGTTCAATGCAATTGCATATATAGAATAGTAATGGTTAGATAGCTCCCTAAACAGATAGGTGCATGTAAATGAAATATCGTTGAGATAATTGATAACATTTTAGAAGTCATCAAAACTCTTAATATTTGTTGATAATTTAAAAAAGTAAAAAAAAAAAAAAACACGTCTTCATTTTTTTTTTTAAAACTTCTTTACTTATATATGTTATTAATTTTTTTTTACTTGTATAATCCAATTGCAGGAATTGTGACTACCACAACGTGTAAAGGATGTGGTAAAGATGTGAACAGAATACGTTGGAAAGGGAATGATGATAATTACTTTTGCACATTTTGCAACATCACATCAGAAAGTGTATCATCAGAATGGCATTGTGGTCAAATGTCGTAAGCATTCTTTTCAACACATAGCATTTGTGTACAAATATTTTTTTTACAATAATGATAATAATGATAAACCTTGCAACAAGTAGATGTTCTGTACGTTTTCTTTTAGACGAGGTATGGTTTTAACTACCAGGTATGATTTTTGTAGATAATAATGGTAAAAATTAGATTCCTTTCTTTTGATTTATACATCTTCAGCGAGCTATAGATAAAGAGTTTTGGCCCACTGGAGAAGTTTGTCCTTTTTTCATAATTTTAAATAAAACATCTTTTGATTTTGAAGATTTTCTGTTCAACAATTATTCAGATTTTTTTTCGGTTTTTGAGAGATTTCAGGAATTGTGCTTAGTTAACAGAACATTATTCTGAACATCTTTTTTAAAGAAATTTGCTGTATTGCTAAAGAAAATATTTTCTCCTTTCAAGACAAAAGCATAAAATCTTCAGTATTATGGTCCCTTATATCGTAACATATCGTATGTTTTTGCAGAATGGTAAGATGAACGAATGAAAATCTGTTGTTCTGCCATTCTTCCGCTATTCTGTCACACTGTAATAAAATATCATATTGATATTCCTTTACTCTATGACAGTACATAACTTTTATATGATAAATAAAATGACAGTTTTGCTGTTTGAAATTTAATAAAACATGTAATTGGCGTATCAATATATATATTATAAAGTTTGGGTTGAATTGTGGTCTGTTTTATCCCCTTGTCAAGTCTTAGGGATATACGATATTTAGCACATTGAAAAATTGGATTAAAATCATATCCAACCATAAACCTTGAAGGATCCAAATATTATGAAAGAGAGATGGCAGAAGAAAAAAATGCTTGCAACATGTGAGTTAACTTTCTACCTCATTTAGGGCCATGTACTAAAACAATTCAAATTTTATTATAAAGATTTGAAAAATCGTTAATTTTAGTGGCAAGCTGACAGATAAGGAGATGTTGCTTAAAAAAACGAAAGTGAGGCTGTTCGAGGAAGATATTGTCATTAAAAAAAGACAAGGAAATTGCCTGTGGCCATACCCAGGAATGTGTAAAAACAATTCAGGTTAAATCCATGTCTTAAAATTTATTTTTACAAGAATAAAAAAAAGTTAGAATCAAAGTATATATTTCGGAAAAAGAAGCCAAATATCTCACTTTTATATCATTGCAACTCTGCTAATAAATAAACAATTAATAAGCAACATTTGCTAAAAAGTTGCTTTATCCAAACTTATTTAAACATTTTTTTTTTCAATTGCAAACCTTCCTTACCTTTGAAAATTACAAAGAGAGCACAGAAAGAACTGGAAAATTCCGAAAAAAGGAACTCTTAATTCCAGTTCAAGTTCAAAGTGCGGATGGATATATTTTTCTGCACGATATCTGCGATTTAAAAATTAAGAGGGAGGATGAATGGGATAAAGCAAATCAGTTTTATTATCAAGATCACCTCCAAAATTTAGGACAAGGTATAATTATTTTTCTTTCTGTAATATATTTTCGTGGATAAAAAATTTCGTAGTATTTAACTAAGTTAGATGCGCAATTATTAAGTATGAGTTGTAAACTTTACCTTTTTTTTTATTATTTTTAGATGGAACAGAGTATGTTGAAGCGAAGATCAGACATGGAGAAAAGGTACAGGGAGAAGCGTACATAATTCAGTGAAAATCAGTTCATATCATGTCACATCAGCCCAGGTATTCCCGTATATGTCGAAGGTCCAATGGTTTATTTGATATCGATTTCAGCACGCGATATTCTATTCATGATACATATGAAGCTATTCAGATTGATACTAGTTATTATTATATAGTCTATTTATAGTCCCTATATAATTTATACAAACGCAAACAGTTCATAACACTACATATTCACCGGATTTTAGACTGTATTCACCGGAGGGTCAATGCGCTTGCAACGGCATTGTGACGTCACAATCAAAACATCAAACAACGTTGTAAACAATGGTTGCAACGGCCGCAGCGAGCTACGTATCTGAGCAGGAAAACAATTATTCAAACCTATTTCAGGATTATTTTTTAACATCTGGACGCCTCGGTCAATATGAATATTTTTCGGGTGAATAACAAACCATATTCAACACCAAAAAAGTCCATAATTGTATAATATGGTTTTGTGTTTCTCATTTTTAAGACGAAATATTATAAATGTTGTACTCGTATGTATCTGTAGTTTAATTAGATTAAATATAGCCAGTTTTTGTATCTTTTAATGTCACCTGAGTAAGCACACTGGTAACTTTAAAAAATGTTACATACATATTAACAATAAACGAGGGTGTCTCTTCTAAAATAATGAATTTTATGATACGAGACTAAGGGTTTAAATACTAGGACGGGGCTATATAGATTATATTTTGAAAAAATGCATCATTTCTTTGATCTTTGGTACTGGTTAATTTCAAAGAAAAATGAAACAGTTATATGCTGAAAAAAACAATAGAAAGTTAGTAACAATTTTTGAAATAAAGGGTTGTGTTAGAAAGTTGCATACCATGTTTTAAAAAGACTGCGTTTCAGATATCAGAAAGATGAAATATTCAATGAAGTGTGTGAGTAATACATAGCACCATAAATAATTTATTTTGTAAGCTGTTTTTTGCTATCAGATCAAATTTTATTGCTTTCATGCACAAATATATGTATATTTAAATAGATGCACGTGACAGAAATACAGATACATTTGTGGAAAGAAGGTACATCCACGAGTTGGGATACATCGTATAATCCATCTCTCCTCTTTATTCTAATGGATGACATGGAAGAATGCCTTGAAGATATCATATCCTTTTTTAGTAAGTAAGGCAGAAGGAACATCATTTGTTCAAAATCACGGAGTCCCGTATTGAATTCAAAGAATATATTGATTTCAGAAATTATGTACCCGGTAATATAATTATCGGTGGTAGTTTTTTGAATTGTTTTATTGAAATATTGGCTTGAAGAGGTTAAAACATGTTGGATGGTTGACATAAACTAATTTAGTTCAAATCATAAAAATTAGATGTATATTTTTGTATTTGCTGGGTTTTGTTTTACGCTTATTTTTAATTCACGTTAAGGCGACAAAGATTCATATGTGCATTGTAGATAAAGACTATTAGGGGAAAAACAAAGGAAATAAATTAAAAAGGGTAATATTTTAAGCAGTATATACTGCAATATCTTCTAACAAATAATTTTATACTGCTCAAGTTACTTTTTGATTTACGCTCCCCAGATCTACGTTTATTTCATTCAAACCCATTTGATTTTTAATTCAATCGCACGATTTTTTTCATAAAGAATATTTCTTAATGCAGGAAACTCCTCTGTGCCCTGTTATTTAGCTTGCCAAAAGGTCTTATTATGGAACAGTGATCAAGACATTGGCACAAGCTGTGGAGTACACCATTCAACAACTAAACAAACTATTGAAGTAAGTCCATTTTCTCCATCTTTATTTGTCCTTTTTATCTCTTATCATTTTTGGTATTTCACTAAACTAAATTCATTTCTATATTTCTCTCTCTCTCTTTCTCTCTCTTTATCTCAGGAGTATTGAAAAATTTGGGAAGTTTCTAGTATGCCGGTCCCCAGAATAACGCGATTGCGCATGAGCAGTTATTTCCCTTGCCGTTGCTATGCAGAATGTAAACAAACCGCAATTTCCCACTCGCTTCAACAAAACGCATCCGATCGAGTGATTAGGGTTAGGTTATATAGTTTTTAAAATTGGGGTTGTTTTATAAATCCACTCTGTAATCTTTCTGACTTTGGGCTAATTTGTGTAATTTTTGCACTATGAGCGCCTTTTGTGACCAAAAACTTGCATGAATCAGTCTGTCGAATCGTGCCGATATCTTACACTTTGGTTTAGTTCTTCATGAAATTTTTGCTTTCCAAGGAAAGTTTAAGAAATGAAACTTCGGGTAAATCAACTCTATTGTCGAAACATGACCATTTTCTGCGCTGAGTTTAGGCAAGTTATTGTAAAAGCGACTTACCGTTAATTGCAGCTCGATATCCTGACCTCCTAATCATGTCCAAATATTCAGAATATTTTTCCTTTCAAATCGATAATGATGTACAATTCAATCCATCGATGACTAGTGATTAGCTAACATTTTTAAATCCCTGTATTTCTCACAAAAATCACGCAATTTCAATAGCATTGCATTTTGAGTCCTATCAGGCATTTCTTCATTACGTCAAAACTCAAGTGACGCATCTCATGAATATTTATGAGATTACGTCAAAAATTGATCATGTGACTACATTCCTAAACATTTACTTCCTAAACAAGTACGTTATTTTACGAAATCTTTTAATTCTCATTTAAAAAACTGTTTAAAAACCAGTTTTTTAAACCCAATTTTTCACAAGGAACACGAATTTGGGGTCAAATTTGCAATTTGTGGCTTCTTTTTCTATTTTGTCGATCGCTCACGCGATCGTCTATATACTGTACAACGCCTTCGGCGGCACCTGTTTTAGCGCCATATTTATGGGGACCGGTATACTGGAAGTGTTCCAAAATTTAAACCATTAACCCTTTTTATTTCTTATGCAGAAGTTGCTTGAAAATGGCTGCACCATCTTTAAAATAATGTCAGGGAAAGAAGAGGCAGACCTAAAATACTTCATGGATATGGCTAAGCGTAAGTTACATTCTATGTCTTTTGTTTCAAAAAAAAATCGAAATGAAGAAATGTATCTATAAAGTTCAATCGCTTTAAGGTTACCTTGGAGAAGAAGTCATACCAGTGATCTTAAAGTCAAATGAAAAGTTCAAGTTAGATGAGACTACTCTCGAAGAAGCCAAGACGGAAATAATACCAATAGTATCAGCTAAGGTACAAATCATCGTTTTCACTCAACCATGTTATAAAAATATTGTATTTTTATGGTCAATATGACAAATTATTCACTCGAGGAGGAGGACAAGAATCACCGAGCTAGAGAGGCAATTAAATATTTGGCTTCGGAGATTGCTGAAACATGGTATCGGTTAAGGAGGAATGCCACACCAACTTTTTATTTTATTGATCTCTGAGTCAACTTTTTAAACCATAAACTGAAAGGCCGACATTAGCTCTTAATCATTTTATATGATTTTTTTTTTTGTATTTTTTCAAAGACAATTAAAAAAAATATTTACATCAAAATTAGATGCTTTCTTATAAAAAAAAATTGCTGTAAATGAATGAATTACATGAATACTTTATAGAATATGTAAAGAAAAGCCATATAGATTTTGAATTGTTTTAAATAAAAAAATATTTACGAAAAAAACCATGTCAATTGTGAATATTTCTTAAACTTGTGGTTAAATCTTCTTAAAACCAGTCACAACTGGGGAGAACATGTTTGTTAATCATATTTATAAAAGAAATTGAAACGAAGTAGCCAAATTTTAGAGAATTTTTTTTTTAATTTTGGCCAATCCTGATCAAAATTAAACCGATCGCAACCATAATTGTACAATTATTGGATATGAATAACATTTCCCCCAAGAACACTAGTCTGATTAGGTGTAATACGGATTAAAGCATTATTGAACTTGACAATCAAATAGATTTCTTCATTGTGAATACATGAAACAGGCAATAAATTAGTATTTTATTCATTTTGTGTTAATTTTGATCGGGTTAGGCCCAAACATCAAAAAAATTAATTTCTCTAAAATTTCTCAATTTTGTTTCAATTTCTTTCAAAAATATGATTGACAAACATTTTGTCCTCAGTTGTGACTCGTTTAATAGTGTTTTAACCATAGGTCTAGAAAATATTGACAAATAATGTGTTTTATTTTCATAAATGATTTTTTATAAAAAAAATTAAAAAGTCTAACTAGCCTTTCTTTACATATTTCATAAGATATTCATATGATGCATTCATTTACAGCAAACTTTTAACTCGAAAACAACTTGCTTGGATATAAATATTTTTTTCATTTTCTTTGAAAAAATACAAAAAAAAAAAAAAAAATCATATGAAATAATTAAGAGCTAATACCGGCCTTTCAATGCTGAAACCATTGTTTAAAAAGGATGACACAAAGATCTATAAAATAAGTTCGTGTGGCATTCCATCGTAAAAAAGAACAATAATCGTTTCATTACGTGATTCAATGATACAACCTTATTAAATAGTTCATTTCATATTACTTGCTTGCATCTGTTGAGGTCCCAGCCAAATGCAACGAAAGTAGAAGGAATAGATAATAATTACCAGTCGCATTAATTTGGATTTTTTTTTTAAATTTCCTCAAATTGCTTGAAGAATGATCAGGTTCTCTTATAAGACTGATTTTTGAGGAAGGAGTTTGGAGCACTATCAGTAAAAAGTTAAACACTATATTTGTTTTTAAATCCATTTTAGACAAGTTTGCATATGTTATCAATTATTATATTTAAAAAAGAATAGATTTACACAAAGTTATAGAAAATTTGAAGAGTTTAATAAAAATATAGATATGCGGAAGCAATTAAATTTTTACTTTGGGGATTAATTGTAAGTGGTTTTATAACACTTGAACAAACTTTTATTACATTGATGCATACAGATTTCCGATTTCACACGGGTCGCTTGGCCATCAAAGGAAACTTTAAGCGATGACAGAAAGAAGAACAAATCATTATCAAACAATAAAATAAGAGGCTTGCCCAAGAAGCAAGATGATCGTCAAGACATCGATGAATCAAACATAGACACATACATTGTCAACACTTCTAGGCCATGGGAAGTCAAGCAATGGAATAAAAAGAATTTGTCAAAAGAGAATCTGGAATATGGACAATGGTTTTTCAAGACAAAAGAAGTGAAACTTGATAATATTATTCCTTTGATTCTTGTTGGTGGTAATTTCTTCTATTTCATCTCACCATTTGCATTTGTGTTTTCCATCTTTTATAAAATCCTTATTTAAAATTTCATACATTTTTGTTACAGTTGCTATGCATATATTTCATGTGAGAAAAGTAACAGGACTGCACGACAAATTACAAAACAGTGGTGCAGTAAGTATTAACTGGGAAATAATTTGTTTACTCACCTTCATTGAAGTACACACAATCAACAGAGAAGCATAGGATTAATTTGTTAAATCCAAAATACTGAATAAACGCAACTATCTACAATATATCAAGTAAACACAAGATCACAGACAGAAAAATCACTTAAAAGACTAACAGCAATAATAATAAAATGTCAAATATTGGGACGCCCTGTTCTTTCTTCTGTACAAAGAAACGGTAAAAAAAACCATTTAAATAGCAAAACAGATAAACACAAAAAACACCTGACACTACAATTACACTGGTGAACACCATTAATTTACATTCTGAATTCTGATGCTAAATGATAATATACAAATCAACATTTTCTCAATGTTATTCACTCATAGGTTTTCACAAGCACGCTATATTTTATCAAGAAGTGTTGAGCAGATAAACATACCTTTTTTTCGAATTCATGTTTTTTTCTATTCAGATGATGAAAATCCTTCAATATGTTAAGTACCTATCTTGTCTGTTGTTGAAAAGAGGGCAATGGCTTTTCCCAGGACAGTTTGTTAGAATGACTATGGAAGAAATATTTGATCAAACATCATTGCATTACATTTTTGGAAGGGTGAGCATGGAGTATTTGTTATATGAGGCGAATACTACAAATAAATTGAAAACGCTGCGAGCCAAAGTAAAATGAAATAATCCTTCCTTAGATTTTTCTCCCATCTTTGTTTCCTCCAGTTGCGAAAAACTCAGTAATACTAACTTAAAATTTAAATAGAATTAAAAAAAAAACACTTTGATGCTGCTTTACTTCTTACTGTATACAGTTTAATTTTCGCTCCCGTTTAATTTTCGCTACTTTCGCCCTAGCCTGACGTAGGTGAATTTAGAACGGGGCGAATTCAAAGTAAACTGTATATATCTTAAACAAAAATATTTTTGGGCCAATTTAAAACGGGGCAAACTTGTTTTCAGATGTGAAAGGGCGAAAATAACACGGGGCAAAAATAACCCTGTATACAGTATTTTTGTTCAGTGCCAGAACCAGGGTGATGACTATTTTGATTGTAGCTGCCTCAAGTTTTTTCTCTTCTCCGCTGTCAATGATACATTTAAATTGCCATATTTCATATTCTAAGATACTGTTGATAGGTATACATTTATTTGGGAAATCTAAAAAGCAGATTCCTTCTAAAGACAAAATGTTAAATTGAACAACATACCAAAACTATCCTCTAGATATAAGTGCTTTGAAAGGAGAAACATTTTGCTAATTTAAAATAATGCACCAATTTTCTTTATTTGCAGAATATGGAAGAAGATATTAGCAAAAAACTATGGAAAGACCTTAGAAGAGAAATGAAATCCACTAGTTTTCCTCCTGAAATAAAAGGTTGAAGGATTTTTATGGGACAAAATACGTTTTTTAAGCAGGACAACAGTTGTTATTTGGCTTTATATTAGATCTATCAGAGCTTCTGTAATATTCATTATTTTCTGTAACATTTGAGTCTTTCAATTTTTTTTAGATGGAAAACTTAAACTGCGAAATGAATATTCCGGAGTTAATTTGGTTTTCTATGCCCTTTTGAGAACAAAAAAATTTGTTGGTGCTAGACAACTTGTTGAGAAAGGATGTGTAAGTAATTCGTACATTTGGAAATATTTACATTTGCTGTGATTTTTAGAAAGCCAACTGTAAAATTGATTTGAATACCATTTTCGTGTATATTAACGGTAGAAATATACAGGTAGAAACGTGCACTAAGGTGACATCACAATGAGGTTTCAGGGAAGTTAGTAAAATATAATGGTATTGGGCAGGATGAAATTCAAACATTGTGTAGCGCGCTTCATGAAATAGGCCTACCTGAAAAGTCTGTGTGATTAACACATCAATAACGTACAAACAAAACATTCCTTAAATGAACTTTTCTGAAAAAAATAGCGTACAGCGTCTGTCTGTCCATCCATTTGAATCTCTGCCCACTTTCACAAATTTGATGTCTTCTCAAGAAACACCACTGTATCAAATGAAATCAAACTTGAAACACATATTTTTTGGTAAACGGATTTTTAGTGCTTTGAAATGAAGAGTCAAACCTTCTTCCAAGGGCAGCTAATTGCAGATAAGTGTACATTAATGCAATTAATTTTTAAAAATCTTCTCAAGAATCTCATGGTCAACAAAGTAAAAACTTGTGCAGAAAAAAATATACCGGTAGCGAAAATCTTAATTTCAAAAATATTCTCAAAAGCATCATAGCAATGATTGTTTGTATTTGTACTGAAATGTCGCAATATAGTAGTTTATTTACGCCATGTTCTTTAAAATTGTTACCTCCGTAGATCAAAATATTTAAAAGTCAGATTAAAAATTTTAACCCAATTATTGTGTCATAACTATGTCTAATCAATTTTAGGTAGTGTTGACTCAAATCTTTTTTTTTTGTTTGTTTTTTTTTTTTGCTTAATTAGTGACTCTTTGGGGTATCAATTTTTAGGTACAGATTCATCAATTTTACTTTGTTTTATTTCAATTTGTGAGTTAAAAATAACATGATGAGAAGTAAACGATTTAAATATTTCTCGTTGAACATGTTTAAGTGATTACTCAGTACTCATCTTTTTATTGAGCACTTAAATATGCATCGATTAGCTTGATACAGATAATTTTATCCCATGAATTATTTAAATGCAACCCCAAAATATTTTTTTTTTAATATATAGTACATGATTTTAGTAAAATTGTAATTTTGTTGTTTTTATTGTTTTCAACCCCCCTCCCTTCCAAAAGTATTAAAATGTCGTGTGTTAAGAAAATAAAATAAAGGATGAGTAGACATTTTTTTTAATAATGTAAAAACTATTCAATTTAAAAAAAAATTGATGATGTTTTGTTAACTTACTGCGACTTATAAAAAATGTAGTTTGATAAATTATTCATTTTCAAAAAGAGGAATGCAAATTGCATGATAAATGTGGGAAACAAAACATTTCATCATTTGTTTTTAGCTCACCTGAGCCGAAGGCTCTAGTGACCTTTGCTGATCAGAATGTGTCCATTGTCTGTCGTTGTTGTCGTCGTAAACTTTTCACATTTTTATAATTCTCAAGAACCAATAGGCCAATTTCAACCAAACTTGCTACAAAGTATCCTTTGGTAAAGGGAATTCAAGTTTGTTCAAATGAAGGGCCAAGCCTTATTCCAAGGGGAGATAATTATGAACTAGTGAAAAATTAATGGCATTTAAAAAAAATCTTCTTCTCAAGAACCACTGGGCCATGAAAGATTAAACTCATGTGGAATCATCCCCCCCCCAGTAAACTTTTCAGTTCTGATCTGTGCTTTTTCGTAGCCGATGTGCTCAGATGAGCGATGTTGCCCCTGAGCCTCTTGTTAAAAGTTGTCAAATCATTTATTTATTAAGGAGTTTTTGTATGTAATTGTGTTTTAAAACACAAAAAATGGTTCATATCTTGAAGTTGCCCCAATATCACTACGATAAAGGCGAAGTAACAACATTGCATTCTATTTTTTTCCTAGCATAAAGCATACAAATATGTTTCTAATAATTGAATTTTTTATCATTCCGTTTTCGCAATTTCCAACTAGATTGGGCCTCTTTTTTTCTTTGCCTGCAGATTGGAATTAGACCAATTCTGATTGGCACAAGAACACTAGATGATTTGAAAAAAGAATGGAGAGCAACAGTTGATTTTCAGAAAGAAATGGAAAGCCTGGCAGGGTAAGATTAAAAAATGGAAATGTAGCCATTTAAAATTTTGACATGCATGTACATTACGACCACGTAATCAACATATCAGAAAGTATGAGCTACGGTTGAGTTTGCTTTATGGGTCATAAAAGGAACTGAACTCTCCTTCACGTATTTGTCTCTTCACTTCTTATAAAACAAGAGGCCCACGGGCCTTATAGGTCACCTGAGCATTCTGCAACAACTTTCCAGTTATTGAATTTGATTCATGTTTTATGCCAGATGCTATATGGCATTCACAATTTTGAAAGAGGCACCATTGATCATCATAACAATACACTTAGCAATTGCTTAGCTTGGTTTATTGATTTAAATATGCCCAATAATAAGTTCATAGGATCTTCATGAACGTTTCATGAACATTTCATGAATAAAATTCATGAAAAATTCAAGGAAATTCATGAATTATTCATAATCCCTCGCAGGGGTACTGATACCCATACGCAAGGTAGGGGAAAAAATGCATTCCAACTAATCAGTAATATTCAGCAATAATCAGTAATGCCCCTAACACTGTGAAATAAACCCCTGACCCTAGGTCCACACATTGCACAAATTTTAAAAAGGCACCGTTAAAATTGTCTATCAAAAAATAAATAAATGTTTTATAAATACAAAGGAGCAGATTTCAAACAATTAATTCATTTTCAGTATATAAGTAGAGCACCACCCCCACCCCTGACCCTGGGGCCTAGAAATTCAAAATTTTGCAAGATTAGGGCCCTTGCTCATCATAACTATTTAGGTAGTTCATCTGCTTCATACCCAGAGACAGAGAAGAAAATTTTCAAAGATTTAACGTATATTCACTATATAATCAATAGAGCCCCCCCCCCCCCCAGAACTCCTGACCCTGGGACCATAAAATTCACAATTTTGGTAGAGGCACTTTTGCTCATCATAACTATGCACTTAGTTAGTTTATTTAATACCTAGGAGCAGAGAAGAAGATTTCAAAAAATTCATGTATTTTTACTATATAATCAATAGAGCCCCGCCCTAACACCAGAACCCCTGACCCTGGGACCATAAAATTCACAATTTTGGTAGAGGCACTCTTGCTCATCTTAACTATGCACTTTGTTAGTTTATTTAATATCTAGGAGCAGAGAAGAAGATTTTCAAAGAATTCATGTATTTTTACAATATAATCTATAGAGCCCCCCCCCCCCCCCCAACACCAGAAGCCTTGACCCAGGGACCATAAAATTATTCACAATTTTGGTAGAGGCACTCTTGCTCATCATAACTATGCACTTAGTTAGTTTATTTAATACCTAGGAGCATAGAAGAAGATTTTCAAAGAATTCGTGTATTTTCACTATATAATCAATAGAGCCCCCCCCCCCCCAACACCAGAACTCTTGGCCCTGGGGCAATAAAATTCACAATTTTGGTAGAGGCACTCTTGCATATCATAACTATGCACTTAGTTAATTTATTTATAAATATCTAGGAGCAGAGAAGAAGATTTTCAAAGAATTCATGAATTTTTACTATATAATCTATAGAGCCCCCCCCCCACCCCCAGAACCCTTGACCCTGGGGCCATAAAATTCAAAATTTTTGAAGAGGCACTCTTGCTCATCATAACTATGTACTTAGTTAATTTATTTAATATCTAGGAGCAGAGAAGAAGATTTTCAAAGAATTCATGTATTTTTACTATATAATCTATAAAGCCCCCCCCCCCCCCCCCCCCCCCCCTTACCAGAACCCCTGACCCTGGGACCATAAAATTCAAAATTTTGGTAGAGGCACTCTTGCTCATTATAACTATGCACTTAGTTAGTTTATTTAATACCCAGGGGCAGTGAAGAAGATTTTCAAAGAAATCATGTATTTTCACTGTATATAATCAATTGAGCCCCGCCCTAACACCAGAACCCCTGACCCTGGGGCCATAAAATTCACAATTTTGGTAGAAGCACTCTTGCTCATCATAACTAACTACTTAGTTGGTTTATTTAATACCCAGGAGCAGAGAAGAAGATTTTCAAAGAAATAATGCATTATCACTACCTACTTATTTAGCCCTGCCCTAGCACTAGAACCCCTGACCCCAGGGCCATGAATTTCACAATTTTGGTTGAGGACTCAATGCTGATTACAATCATGCAAACAGTTTGACTGCTTGATGTCCAGGAGTAAAGAAGAAGATTTTTAAAGATTGCATTAATTGTAGTGGTTTTGGCCCCACCCCTCAGGCCCCAGGGGGGCAGGGATCATGAAATTCATAATTTTTGTTCCCCTTCATCCATAGATGCTTTGTGCCAAATTTGGTTGAAATTGGTTCAGTGGTTGCAGAGAAGAAGCTGAAAATGTTCAAAAGTTTACGAACGACGTACGACGTACGACGAACGACGACGGACGAAAACAGATAGCAATAGGTCACCTGAGTTTACTCAGGTGACCTAAAAAGGTTATCAACTAGTGAACAGTAAATAAATAATAATAGCCATTTCCTTTTAGAAACGGAGGTTGCAAAAAAATAATAATCAATAAGATACCTTTCAAATAATAATATTAGTAAGATTAACCCAAAGCTTCCAAAGATAGATAAATACTGTTGAACAAAGAGAATTATATTTATTTGCAGTATTTTTTAATGTTTCTCTGGTCTATATCTCTATTCTGGCATGACCAAAGCCCCTGCTTTTTACAATCATACAATCTTTTTTAACCTTAATTTTTCACTGAACAACTTAAGAAGGCTCCCTTATAATATGCTCTTGTTTCCGAACACATCCAATTTTTGGCCTTCAGATGAAAAAAAAATTATTTGTATTGATATGATTTAATTATCTGTAATTGCGTTTGGGATCTCGCAAATACGGGAATTGACATTTCACTCTCTAAACCCAAGATCAATTATTTTTTTATACGTGTCGGTGTCTTAATCCCTAACTGTTTCTGAGATATGACTCAGAGGCAGAAATCGGTCATATATGACGACCAAAAGTGAATTTTGATTAACAAAAGTCGGGAGTTTTTTTTCTGTAGCATCCCTTACAATTTAAGAAAATTCGACCAGTAATATCGAGAAATCTTGTCGATAAGACAATGGAAAAAAGAATAAAACTAGCAATGATAAGAAAAAGGAGAATTACTTTTAAATCTTACGTTTGCAAGGGAAGACTTTAAAAACTTACAGAGGGATCACTAAAAAGTATTTCTTCTGAAATAAGACCTGATAATTGCGTGAAATAAGACATCAATAACAATCAAAGTTAGAGCAATAGGCTTCCAAACATTTTCGTGGATCATAAACCCGACGGTTTTTAAAGGTATAGGAAAATGAGTCTATAAATTTAATTTTTCATATTACAGAAACGTGTTTCACTTTGAAGAAATTTACGTGTGCAGTTAAAACCTAGTATTTACTTTAAATTAAGGCTTTAATTATTGAAAGTAAGGATACATTCATGACAAATCTTTTAAATGTTTATTTAAGGACTTTAAGTCAACATGCTTTGAGTATAATAAACTACATCCAGGAAAAAGATGAACGCAATAGACATATAGCCTTGGAATGGAGAATCAAAAATTTAGCCACCAACACCATTCAAATATCTTTCCAAGAATGGCGAAGCAAATTGAAACAGTTCTTTTTTAATGAAGATGAAAAGTCAAACAAAGTTGGGAGGCTACTTCTAAATCATGGTTACCTAGAAGCTGCCTACAAAACAGAGAATGAATGCTTCCTGGAGAATGCTAAGCTTAAAACTATGCTGAAGGAGATGTGGTATGGAGAAGGATACAAGGAAAAGAAATGTTGTGACAAAATTTCATACATTGTATGTATTTTTATACCAAGTAGTTTGTTCATTTAAGGTTTTTTTTGATATCCCTGTTTTAAATTTCTTGACTTATACCGAAAATATAACTAGGGTTCTTTTTTAATCCTAAGTTTATCAAAGATGAAATATGACTAATATGTAAAGTGTGTATCAAACGGAATATATAAGCCCCACATAGGTCTCTATTATTGTATATATTAAGGATCTTATATCGAATGACATTTATAGCACTTAAATGTATATATGATCTGTATGATTTTACCTTAACTAGAATTTAAATATCTAATTTTTTAATGTTTCTTTAAAATCTCATAAAAATCTTCATTAATTGAAACGTTTGATGCATAACAGGGTTCTCCATCATTTGATTTATACTGTTAGGTTAAGTTTAATGTATTTCCCTACCAATATCAACACACATACGTCCTCATAATCAAACAAATATGCTTTCACAAATTTTGAAAATAATAATAATACAAATAAGATGTATGATTTTTGTATTTAACTCACTTTTTTTCCTGGTTTCCTTTTGCTTACAAATAATAAATTTTACACCTACAGTGTGTACATTAAAAAGCAAAAACAAACCCCAATTATTATTATAGGTCAAACAATGCAGACCAAAGAATACAAGGGTTTTCTTTTAAAATAAAAAACATCACTATTTTATGAAAAAGATCATGCACGAACTGAGCTAAACTATATTCCAAGATAAGAAGTTGAATATACTTTAATGGGGTCAGGGCATGACCAAGAAAACAAGATTTTATTTTAGTACTGTTCAAGTTTGATTTGGAAATGAAAGTTTTATATTCACAAGGTTCTGATGAATATTATTCATTCTTCATTTCTTTATATGGAAATTTTCGATGAATTTGCACAAATTTCCGCTGTTCCCGAAATGACACAGAAATTACCAGAGAGAGCAGGTCATTTACAAGTTGATTGAGTAATGACAGCTAAAAGTACTGTAAATGATAATAGAATATAACAAAACATATAAATTTCACTGATATACGAGGGGTTATCAAAAAGTTCGTGGACTAGCCACATAAAATTAAAACCGCTTTAGGCACATCAATGAATTTTAAAATATCTGGTTAGCATCATCTTTTCTATCTGAAGAATAAACCATAAATCATAAATTTTATTTTTTTAGTGAATTATTAATGTTTTTGTAAGCAATGGTATGTCTAGGCGGCGCAACCTCGAACACGACGTTTTTGCGACCTATGTGTAACTGAGAAAAACTCTTTTGATATAAACATTTGACATTCAAAAATTCAGTTATTTCGGGTATGTGTCGGGACACAATTATATCATAAAATATGAAATTTTCACTTCTTTCTGGAAGTTCTATGAATTTTTACCGTAAATTATACATGGAATGTCCAAACAAATGAGGCCTTGAAAATGACGTCAAAAGGGGGGAGGAGTTTCCTTTTCCAACATTCTATAAAGTTTTGCCCCTGGAAAAATTGGTATAGATCTAAGAACTGTTTAAACTGGCTACAGAGAAATAATATGCATCCAGAGTACTTGTCTTTTAATGTTAAAATAAGATTCAGAGAGAAAGGAATGCACAGTTAATGTCGATATGTAGTCAAGGGTTGAAAAATCAATCACGTCAAAAAATGACGTTGATCATGTGTTGTTGATATTGAACTCCCAAAAGCAAAATACATGTATGCTGGCACAATCAAGCGAGGATCTCCCCCAATGTATAAATCCATTCGGAATATAATATTAATTGAAAGCCGCTGTTCATAACATTGTAATGACATATAAATAAGGCGGATTTAAGTCCTTACTCAGCTCCAGCTGCAGGGAATCTCACCAAAAAAAGTGTACGAGGTAGAAGAAGCGGACATTAAAAAAAACAATGACGTTGTCGGACGTTATGAAAATAAACGACGACAGCGCCGGGTCATCACAAAATGTCATTTTTATTTTATAATAATTTGGCAAATAATGAACGTATCAAGTTAAAATTTTCAACATTTCTTTATTTTTTGTTGTTTTATGTACCAAATAAATTTTGAAAGCACAGACTGCATAGTACTGATTCTATAGCCTCAGTCTACGAACTTTTTGATAACCCCTCGTATTAGAATGCAAGTGAAAACTGGTATTTTCGTCAAAGCGGAGCTTTCTTATCACATTTACCGTTAGATAAATCACCCATTAGTTCACACATTCAGCATATACATGTGTACAATTACAAATGCTATTGCGACTGGTTCGTGAGTCTACAAGATATTTTGTTGTTCAAACCAACTAATTGGCGCTAATTAGAGTAAATTATTATTTTAATAATAAAAGATATTAATAACCAAAAAAATGTCAACAATTTCAAATTTTTTTTGTGATACATTGAATATAGATTGATACATTACGGTTCCTGTGGTGAGGCCATTACCTTAAACAACCTTTTAAAACCCTGGATTATTTGATGTAGGCGTGTTTGATAAAATTAGTTAATACATGTATGTCCTTCTTTTCTGTAGTTTTTGAGACTCTTCCTGTGCATTATTCATATCTTTGTCATGCCGGTAATGGTTTTCTCACTGGGACTACCATCATGGTAATCTTTTTTAATAGCTTCAATTCATCAGTTACAAAAATTCCTGTCAAAAATCACAACATGTAAGAAAAATAATTTTTAAAAATTAGACTGTAAAATCTATGAAATAACTTCAAAAATTGTATTTTTACAGGTTATATCAAAAGTATCATGTCCCCATCCTGAAACTGTGGATCAACATGGTAATATTGCATAAGACTGTCCGCTACAATTGTAATCACACTAGCCAAGTAATCTCTCCCAATAGACGGTTGTCTGGTTTATAAATCTATACGTCAGTGTTTTACTTCCATATAAACAAAACAAATAAAAACCCATGGAACAAAGACATAGTTAAGCAGAATAAATTATAATATTCTTACGTTAAATTTAATAAATCATTCTGTCAATGATATAACTAATGTGAATAAAAGTGTCTGAATGAATTACTGTAATGAAATATCGACCATTAATGCTATCTGCTCACTTCTCTTCCTCATCAAATTCATACAGTTAACAGTGTTTAACTCCCCCCTAGGGAATGTTGCACTCATGTGGAGATGCCATAACTTGCCGGTAGACGGCTGCAAATTTTGTCCTATTCTTGGCACTTAAGGTTAGTGAGCGGTAAGGGATTTTTTTGGTGCCAGGAACTACTTCGACACGGTACCTCATTGTCTCAACGGTCTCAATTGAAGAACTGGTCCCCATTCTTCACAGTGGATTCGAACCTGTGACGTATGAATCAACTCCTTACTCTGCGACGTTAGTGCAGAAGCTCTTAACACTACGCCAAAACGTTCCTGTTCATTTTGTCAAGTATTTGACAAATTTAATGACGGTTTGCAAATATACATTATTTCCTTGATCAGTTGAAAGAAGTTCTACTTTTGCTTATTAAAAGATAAAAAAAAACATTCAAATGAAGTTTCTTACTTTTTTAAAATTTCTATACACACTAGAAGACTCCACCAATCATCTTTAAAAAGATGCTTAGGATTCTGCATATAATGTATGAGGGATTCTTGGAAGCAAGTTTTTGTTACGCATAACTCTCGTCTCATTCCTATTATAAAGTTTGAAATTACAAAACCTTATTCCACATCTCAGGGAAACTATGAATCATCTTTCAAAAGATGATGAGGCTACTGCATAAAATGTTCTAGGAACCAGGGTTCTCTGAATTAGGTTTTTTTTTTTTTTAAATGACGTAATTTTATTGCAACCAATTTGCCCATGGGAAAAAGTTTAATGCACATCTTATGGAAAGCCCCCAATCGTCTTCTAAGATTTATTGATTACTGAACAAATAAAGATTAACAGTAAGTGGAAGAAGGAAATGTGACAAACGCACGGACAAACAGGGCAGGGTAAAAACGATATATATATATCCGTAATTCCTTGTAAAAGTGTGCATATAATAATAGTACATGTAGAAATTAGATAATTTTTATGTCAAAATTAAGCAAATTTGTTGTATATTAAACAAAATAAAACATTGATAACTCTTATTTCTATTTGAATACAGGCAGGATTAGTTTCGTTTCTAGCGGCTTTCGCCTACATGCTTTTGTTTGATTATACTGAGAATGGAATATCGCAGTCAGAGTACGCCGTTCTTTACTGGATTACAAACAAATATCTTGATGAATTACACCAGGTATTTTTTTCTTACTTGTTAGGGTATATAAGAATAGCTATCAATGTGAAACCTCATTGCAAATGAAAAATATAGTGGTTGGACTCTGATTGAAACAATTGAAACAATCACATTTAAACTATACATGAAACTGGCTTCTGTCAAAGTTTATGGAGAGAGATTGGTATTATTGTCAAGAGAACAAACTAAAATTGCTTTTAAGTTCTAAAATATGAGTTTGAACGGTTCTTTTCATTGATTCTATTAAAATTCATAAAATAAAATGTCTAAGCAATTGCGCTTCTTTCTCTGACGCGTGTACATATGATTTTAGGTCAACAATGTTTTTTTTTCGATTATAATGACAATTATAATCTTTTTGATTTAGATATTTGTTATACGTTGTCGTAAAAGTAAGCGGAAGACCAGACGTGACAGATATTGTGAGTACATAAAAAACATTTGGAACTGGCTTGACTGGTTTATTATTATCTTCTGCTTTGTGGGCTCTGCTGCCAAATATTTCGCAGAGAGCGAATCCGTTCAAGGATTTGCAAAGATCATGCTCATTCTGTCATTTATTCTGCTAAACATGCGAATCCTGAATATGTTTTGGACTTATGAGTTCCTAGGCACTCGACTCGTCATCATTCAGAAAATGGTACGTATTTTCTACCCTAATTACTGTTTAAACAAAAAAATAACCTTTATAATTGGTTAATAACATATTAAATTCAATAAGGCTGTGCTCGATGGAGACTTTTGTGTCAATGCTATTTTTTGGCTTGCAGTTTTTTCTTCTTTAATATTTTTTTTCAAAATCATTAAGTCATTTTTTATCTGAAGAAAATAAGAAAAGGAACCTCTTAAAGAGCATAATAAGATTTAACTGTTAAAAATTTTGTGACTCATGTGTATATGTACTAATCTACAATTAAGAAATTTTTCTGTTATATTTATAAAAACTAAAAAAAAGAGCACACCTTGTTAATTGCTAGAATAAAATATTAGTGCATATTTTTTTTTCTCTGTTAGGCCGGAATTACAGTTGCTTTCATGGCGATAATGCTCGTTATAATGATGTGTTACAACGTGGTAGACTATGCCCTCCTGTACCCAAACACAGAATTCACATGGACGGAAATTCAAAATATTGTAAAAAATGGCTACTGGGCATTGTATGGAAATTTTCCAGAAGATGATTGTAAGCTTTAATTAATTAAATACATTGTATTAAAATATTTATTAAGAATTAAATACGCTTATAGTAATTCAAACGTTTATAAAGGCAAATTATTTGATTTATTTTCAATTCTGAAGATTCTAATTGCACAAATAACGCAACGGGGTATGAACAAGAACCGAATCCAAGATGTCCGACCTCATTGGGGGAAGCCTTGTCTCCATATCTTAGAGCCATATATGGCTTTGTGGCCATTGTTATGCTTTTGAACTTGTTGATTGCAATTTACACGTATGTAAACAATTTTAATCTTGAGATAGAAAGATTCTTCGGTAAGCTTGAGAACTACTGGGGATTATTATTTTCTAAACTTGTTCTACATTTTAGGAAAGCGTATGAAAGAGTGGATAGTAAATCCAGAATATATTGGTCACACCAACAGTCAGAATTCCTTGAAGAATACACAATCAGAACTATTTTTCCCGTCCACATGAAGGGCCTTTGCTTACTTGTGCTTGCTATTTATTCCTTGGTTTTCTTGATCGTTGGAAAAATAAAGAAAGCTGGTCACGAGAATCAACGATTAATGAGAGGTAGCTTATATTTTCATATTGATTTTAATCATTGCATTAATGAACCATTAGAATTATATCACTTTTTTCAGTTTGAATAACACAAATACATTAACTATTTTAAATGTTTTTGAAACATATATAGAGAAAAAATAGGTATTCTAATTTTGGAGATGGAATTTATTTCACGGTTTGGAAAGAATGTTGTTTTCATTTGATCTTGATAAGTGCGAAGGTAAAGTGGAAAATATGAAATAATTATCTTAATATTGACATCTATTCCATATTTAACCACAATATTTCGGTCGCTCACGTGGCTCAGTGGTTAGAACGTCTGCTCTAGAGTAAGGAGTCAATCCTTACTTTGCAGGTTCGAATCCAGTAGTGGGACATGGAGACCGGTCCTTCGGATGAGACCGTATTTATAAACTGAGGTCCCGTGTCGCTGTAGAAGTTGGCACGAAAAAAGATCCCTCACTGCTCAATAACCCTGAGAGTCGAGTACAGGACAAAATGTGTAGCTCTCCACCGGCACGTGGTGGCATCTCCATATGATTTGAGTGAAAAAATCTCGAGAGGGACATTAAACAAAATTAACTCCTTAAAACTTACTGAAGTGTGACGCAACATACACGTACAGTACCGACCAGACCCAACCTGACACAAAGCAGTCCCAGAGCAGTCCCGGGGACTGCTTTCTGGGACTGCTAAAGCAGTCCCACAGCGGTCCCACAGCCGTCCTAGCAGTCCCAGCGGTCCCAGAAAGCAGTCCCAGTGGGCAGAGTTTATTAATTTAATGGGCGGAGCTAACTCAGAAATGAGATTTCCAATAAACAATGGAACTATAAAAGGCAGTAGAAATTGATTCTGGGTAGTATGCCAGGAATCCTTACATGTACACGAAGGTCATTTATGAACAGAACATTTACGCGCATAAAAATTGAAATAATTATTAATATTAAATATGTATTGGAGGAAGAAGGCTTTCACACTTATACGTACATATATGAATTACACTGAACATGAATATTTAATCACAATTCTTGGGTATATTAATAATTCTTCTGTGATTGATACTGGTTCCCATGTTTATTTTTCATACAGAAAATTAAAAGTGAATTAAATATTTTCCACCAGAAGAAACTTTAAATAGATCTTATCATTATATGCCCAATTTAGACTATCGGGATACTCTAAAGTTAGAGTTTTCTTAAGTATTGGGGCTTTTAAAAAAAATATTTGTTAATTTTGCCAAGTATTATTTTTCAGTCATGATTATTTTTACTGAATGTCAATTTAATTACCGTTAATGCCTAGTTCTATAAAACTCAGTTGTAAGTGTTTTATTTGTAAATGTTAGTGTATATCTGTAAATCACCAGAATGGAAGCGTCAGATTATGTTCAAAATTAATTAATCCCTAAAGAAATTTATAAACATTTCATTTATCACATTTTTTTCGCATTAAATAAATTGAAATTAGGGTCATTGTTTACCAGCATGCTCAATGATGTGTAACACTGATACAAATACCCAAATAACATGTATCGATTTTTCTGCCCAAAAGCGATTGAAACAATGGGTGTTGATACCATCTTATAAACATTAATCGGCCAGGTAAACACTACACTTGTAGCAAAACAAAAAAGAAATAAATCACAATTCCCGGTATTTTCATTTTTTTTTTAAATAAATATACATGTACTTTTATTAATTAAAAGCTACTGGTGATTCATTAGTTCCCCAATGATTATTTACATAGATTATGTTACGAGAGAATAGTAGCATAGTTATATTTCATGGTCATTTAATAAATTGTTGGGTTTTATTTGAGGGTTACATGGAATGCTCTTTTTTTAGCGTCGTCCTTATAAAATGTGTAGCATTTTTAATTAAAAAAAATCTTATCTCTAACTGTAATGACTATTTTTTAATAGTACCAATGCAAATTTTGAGTACATATTATAATTTAACATTAAATAATTAAAAAAAAGGCCCACATGAAGCTATTTTTTCTCATAAACTTGAAGTTTATTTTTAGGGATAAAAAATGTTCTCATGAATTCCTTTTTTACCAACTTTATTTTTTTTTATTTATTCTAAATACACATTAATTTGTGTAAATATACAGTCCCTGAAAATATAAATTAACTATAATAATCTCTACTTATTAAAAGAATGTAAAAAATCCTTGCTTATTAAACAGTTTAAACTCCTCTCTGCTGCAAGTAAACAAAACAACAGGGAGCCTGCAAATTCAGAATACACAAGGGGCGGAGCTATCATGTCACTCAGAACCTTTTTCACACATGAGTGAACAAAGCAGTCCCAGAAAGCAGTCCCAGGGGCAGCTGGGACTGCTGGGACTGCTGGGACTGCTTTTCATAGCAGTCCCAGAGCAGTCCCATAGCGGTCCCAGAGCAGTCCCGCAGCAGTCCCAGAGCGGTCCCAAAGCAGTCCCGGGGACTGCTTTCTGGGACTGCTTTGGTGTCAGGTTGGGTCTGGTCGGTACTGTAATGGCACGTCATAAAAATATTACTTGACCGTTTTCCTGCAAGCACTATATGGCCTAGTACAAGTTTTTCTAAAGTTTTGGGTAAATAATATTATGACATAATATTTTGATAAGAAAACAACTTTTCTTATTTTATGAGATTTAAGCAAGTATAAAATAGATGGAATTTGGCAATAGATTGAAGATTAAATGAACTTTATAAAGTGCGTTAAATGCGTGATTGCAGGGAAACTGTATATGCGTGATTTTGCGTTAGACATAGAAAACGGTATATGCGTAAAATTATGCGTGACTTCGGGGAAGGTGGTTAATCAATCAATCACAATATTTTAAGTTTTCTGATTAAAAAAAAATCCTTATGCCTATTTCCATATCTAACAATGTGATGTAGGCTATGCTCTGCTCTGATGTCAATTAAAGTAGAGCGGTTGTGACGTCATTGATAAGCGAATGTGAGATTTGTTTAAAAAGCTTGTTAACATGCATGTATTTTAATAATATACTTGGAGAAACTTTGGCACTTTAAATTCCTGTCAGAGTGTTCATTGATTCTATCTTCTTAAAGTCTTGTGGTGTTATACAACGTGCCCTCTTCGTGAAGAAATTCCAGGTTTTGCTCACTTCTGATATTCGTTCCTACTGTGACATACTATATTTTGATAATATTCCACACTTATTTAAAATACAAAAAGATCATTTTTGATTATGATTAGATAAGTAAAAATAGTATTTCACTTATGAAATATTGGAATATGTTTTCATGTGGACGTTGCTACATTGTATGAGTAAAACAACACGAAACAATTCAATTGTAGTTCTCTTCTTCGATGAAACTTTTGATGATCTTCGAACGGAATCGACTGAAGAAGAAATAGATGGAATGTTAGAAGTGCAAAGGTACCCTAAACATTATTAAATCGCAAAGTCACATGTGCAGCTAAATTGTGCTGCCCAACATACACACCCTCAAACAAACCCTCTCCAGCACATTCATACATACACACTTGGTTAAATTTAAACGTGTAATGCATATAAAATGCATATTTTTTTTCAGTCATGACACATGTGATTGGTTTTTTTTTTCAATTTCATTTCCTCTGATTCACGTCTGCAAATATGTAAAAAAAAAAAAAAAAAATCAGAATTCATACCCTTGAAAGATGAAATTCTAAGAATTACACACCGTTGCAAGTAAATAAGTTGTCTACAATCACGTAAAACATATTTTACCGAAAAGAAGCCTAGCTTTTCGGATATGGGTTAAATAATATCAACCTAAAATCTATACACGAAAAACTATTTAGAAATGAATTTTACACTTTACCGCTAAAATCCATTTCTCTAATTATTGTGTTTGTTTATATATACTTAATCTGTTTTTGAAACTCTGTAATTTTTGTAACTGTGTTATTTAAGGGACACAAATACTTTGGAATCTGAGGCTGAGGATATTTCTGTAAAGGTAACAAAACAATAAGTACCGTAAAGATCACAAAATAAGACTTCCTGATGATAAAATTAACTCTTAGTTATATCTAGATTTTCTTATGGAATATGATACACATTTTTGAAATTATACTGAAACAATGGGACAATAAATGCATTCATTTGGAGATATTCAATGTATTTAAAAACCAACAACAACACATATATTTTGTATCAAGTTAATCTTCCATTTATAAAATCTCCTGTTCAATATTAGCAAAAAAGAGTGAGTGAACAAGAAAACACTGATGTAAAGGTAAGTATTGAGCAATACTATCTTGTTTAAAAATAAAGGGAAAATATTTTTTATGAAAATAAACAATAAATTTATTTTTCTTCAGATTGTATTCATTTATAATTATAATTCACGCATAATGATGATTATAAGAATAATACCTTTCTTTAATAAAAAAAAAAAAAAATTTTAAAAATAAAATAATTACCCAAAAAGAAAAAAAAATGTATTGATGACATTTTGATCTCAGCAAAAAATGAATATATTGTTTTAACTTACAGACTTCGATAAAAGATCTGAATGAAAAGGTAGGACATATATGATTCTTAATTATTTTTATTTTGACGATAATTTATGTATGTTATCATTTATTTATTGAATATTTCTACATGTTGAGTTCCCTGCATTAATGAAGGAAATCGCTGAAAATTATACATACTTTTATTCAATAACAGTCTTATATGTATCTCATACCTAAGAAGATACTACCCGTGAATTAAACCTATACTTTATCCACGGACAGGTGATTTACAAATACATGTAGTGGTTCCGGCTTTAATGGCAAAATCCCTCCCATCAAGATTTTAGTTACCGTGAAACTACAATTGATCTACAAGTAGCCTATCACCGTTTTCAATGCCATCGTAGAAACAAATGTTTCAGATAAAAATCATGATCGCTCGGTCATTACAATTTTCTTTCAAAACTTCATTTAAAATAAATCTTAAACAAATCTTCACGTATATTTAAAAGACGCAGATAAGATGGAATGTATATTTTATAATCGATATACTTTCTTTCGGCGTGTCAACATCAACAGCACAGCCTCATCAGTTGCAAATCCGATAGAAATTATTCATACAGTTTCAAAGGCGGTATATTAAAGCTTTGTGAAAAAAGGAAACAGAAATCGGTAAATCATTAATAGAACATCGTATAAATAAACATAAATTTAAACTCTTTCGATGAAGCTGATATCAAATCATACAATCTAAATATCCTCTGTGTATAATTCCGGTATGTTATTTTTTAATATTTTGCAAGAATTACGTTTTTGGGATTGGGGTTGGGTGTTTAATTCCGCAAGAGAAGTGATTTATCTCTATTATAAAGATCTTCATTGAATAACATCCTCGTTGTTTAAAGCGCAAGTTATGGTTGGTATAAACATTGACACCATTTGACGTTTTAAAAAGTGTGTTTGCATTTTCTAACACATCATGATAAAGTTAGAAAAAAAGACAAAACATGTAATTGTGCCATTTATGTCCATATTAATACCCATCATTTTTTGCGCGTTGAACAGCAAGCATGTTCATTAGTAGAATTGGGGATAAATATGACTGAAATTAAATCGCAGTATGATAGTGATATACCACTATTACAGCGGTGTTTACCTTTTCAATTTCGTGATGATATCTCAAGCAAAAGCCCAGGAATAAGACAACTGATATATACTAATTATCAACTTATATTTTACACTCTGAAAACAAAATCAGATTTTCCAATGACATTAAATGTAAATATCATGGTGGAAACAGTTCTGTAGTAATAAGATATATTCAATTATTTTTCACAGATTCAATTCCTGTTAACGGAACTGAACACCATTAAGGTATGTAAATGTTGATAATAAATTACAAATTATGAAAAAATAATGCAATGTTTTAAGCAGATATACAATTTTTTTCAATCTAGTATAAAAGAAAAAAACAACAATTGCTTTATGAAGGTTAACAAAAGAGCAGTCATTTTGTTGTGACAATAAGTACATGTCTATTTTATACAAGAAACCTAAGATTTAGAGTTGTGAAGAGTATCCTATAATTTGTATTTTAGAGTCTTTCTGCACCTAGAGGAATCTACACATCTGTGAAAGAAGATCATTAGTTATAACTCACAACAACTGGTGGCATAAGAACTATCCAATGCTAATAATAGGATACTACGTGTAGCATTATTTATGTTTAGGAGTTGAACTGTCCTTTACCATATAATGTATATTAACTTGTCTATGAACATAGTATTTGTGATATCTGTGCAAAAATACAACTAATATTAACTACATAAATGCTTTTAACATATCAATATATTATCCATTTTAATGTAACAATTTTAAGAAATTTAATGTTTAGGTTTCAATGATTTATTTATTTCCCTTCTGTGTGTTAACGTTTGTGTTGTCACGTGCAAATGTCCGCGTTTGAGTGTTTAAGTTTACTTGGTGTGACGTATTTGATCATTTCCAGTTTAACTGGTTCTATTACTGTTATTAAAATCCACTTGTGACGTCATTCTTTTGTTTGAGAGCTCCATTACTTTTCAGAAAGGGAGAGTTGCAAATTTCATTGAAAGCAGAATTTCTTATGATTTTATTCTCCCTTCCGTGCCTTTACCGAGGAAAGAACTTAGAATTTTTTTGAGTAGAGTTTTAGAAAATTTAAGAGTTTTAAAATTTTATTTCCAATGGTAAGGATCGAACACTGTGCCCTCCGTATTGATTTTGGGTACTCATTTCACTAAGCTATCGAAGAATTTGAGAAACACTGGATTAGAATAACCTTAGTACACTTTTTTTCTCCTTACTTTCTATAGTTTATAAAAAAAAATTAATATTACTAATTTATAATGTCTATTTAAATTGTGTCAAATAAATATTCTTCCTTTTATATTAACGAACAATAAATAAAAGCATTAAAAAGGCTGGTTAATATTCTCGTAGCACTCAATTCCTTTAAAGTAATGGGCTGAGGCCCCTTCGGGGCCTTGGATCAATTACTGAAGGGGCCTCCGCCCATTACTTTTCTTAAACGAGGTAAATTATTGACAAGCAAGTTGATGAAACAAGAATATCAGCAGTCTCGTTTAATATCATCATTTCGTAAGTTCTATGTTCGATACAATGACCTTGTCAGCAAATGCAATTTATCATTGAGTCAAATACTGACTGACGTTTTTCATACCAATTGTTAGTCCATTATTTATACACTGAATTGACGACTGATTTTTTCCGTTATTTCCTGATCATGACAACGAGCACACGGCGGGTGTGACCGGTCGGCAGGGGATGCTCACTCCTCCATGGCACCTGATCCCACCTCTGATGTTTCGGAGGTCCGTGTTTGTGCTCTGCTTTTATTTTGTATATTGTTTAATGGACTTTGAGATTGAATACTGTTCGTTATCTCCATATCCTTCTTTTAAGGAATGCAGAGCTTCTCGTACATTAACCCTTACATATCATCTGCTGACTTTCCTTTGACTAAATAATGTCCATACACAGTGCAACACTCTTTACGGGAGTAGACAACATGACGTCTTGACCCACAAAACTCAGTGTACACAATGATGGGAAAATCATATGGTACATGTATCCATAGCAGATCTGCATTAAAAAAAACTTGCATTCCGTGCGTTTACTAATAATTACCCAACTACAGGAGTTCTACCTAGGTTAAAGCTGAAAATTGTTAGCATTATATGTGTCATATAACCACTGAACTGATCAGATGAGATGAGTGTTGCGCATGTTCAAATCAATACTTAAAAGCCTCTCAGCTTTTATCTATCAAAAATCAAAGTTACATAAGCATGACGTCATTACCAATAAAAAAATAAAAAAGAGGAAGAAATAATCCCTCGGAACTAGTAGCGGGCAACAGATCCCTTTAGTGGTTATAAGACTCACAGAATCCCTTCGCCTTTTACAAAGGTAAGGCTCGTTTAATTTGGGTATTCCGTTACGTCATTCCAGTTTCAGGATCAAACGAGACTTCAAAGAGACTTCAAAGAGAGAACACTTCAACACTGACAAAGATGAATATTAGAAAAAAAATCAAACAAAACAATTATACTGAAATATTAATAATTTATTATGCAGAAATCCTCAGGACATCATCAAGTAGTTACTTGTTTTTCATCAGTTGTTCATATGTTTATGTACAACACTTTATCTGATACGTAAAGTAACCAATACCAAAACATATCGATAGCATCAATTATTCATTACAGAGTGTCGATATAATTGTGTATCTTAGTAATAGGATTTACAAAAAATAACTAAAGGCTGTGCATTTGACCAACATCCTACTAAATATCAACCACTGGTATATAACTTTCAGATGCTCTCGAAACTAAAGCAGATCTTTCACTATGTGATGCAAATTTATCAATAACAATATCTAGGCTGAACATCATTATCTTTTTACCCCTACTTATATTTTCTCTGGTAACTGTTTAATGGGGTTTACATAACTTATAGATAAATACACAAGGCTTGCTTGTGTTTTCTGAATATTATCTAAAAAAAAAAAAAAAACAAAAACATAGACATAGACATAGTGTGTCACTGCGTTGAAACTAAATGTCATGAATTTAAGTGTAGTAAGCGTAGTTTCTTTAAAATAAAAAAGACAAAGAAATCAGCATCTTTAACAGCGTTTTATCACCCACTATTTTAAAAGGCAAAAGTTATATTATTTTCTAGTGTTCAGTTGAAAATTAAATAACATAATCGGGTCCTTTTATCATAAGCATTGTTGTTTTACTCTTGTGTACTTACAAATTGGGAAATGGCCGGGAGGGACAAAGTGTCGATTCATCGGACACATAGAGGAAAGAATGAAAATAATAGACTTTCTTGATAGATGGTTTCAGCGATTCTTGGTGTGTTTTGAGTCACTGAATGCTCAGCAGATTTTTAGAAGACCAAACGATGTAAGGGCGAACGGAAATGTTTGATGGTGTGTAACGTTGGCAAAAATGACGTTTAGGACAATGTGTGAAATTTTAAGTTTGTTTTTAGTTACTGTTCAAAAAATTTTGACAGAGGTATAAATTATGAAAAGAGTGGGTGCACGGTGGGTATTCTTTCAGAAAGTGAAATTTTTGAACGTGTTCGTTAATATCAAATATTTTTAACGAAACGAAGGGAATTGTTTTAATGTATGACGGCGCGTGTCCATCGTACATGTACAACCTTATTTAGGTGCGTCGACAACCATAATCTCTTGAACTTTGTATATAATCTGATATTTTGAACATTGTAAGTCTTTTTGAATTGAAATTTTCAGGTCTGATTCGAAATAAATGGAGCTTCCATCATTAATAACTTTATTGTTTTACGTCAACTAGTAGCAATTTTATCGAAGATGTGACATCACTTTAGGATCAACCCTCGTAATACTAAATAATTGAACAAGTATATACATTACTAAAGTAACATACATTACAACGTCTGTAACATTACAGACAATCACAACTTTTTAAGGTCAGGATCCAAATGCAAGCATCATGTTTCACTCGAGCTGACCTGATATTTCCATCAAACTTTCACCACTTATTGTGGCAACACCAATGCCATAGGACAAAGAGTAAAACAGTTTGAATTAACACGCATCTTATTTGCATTGCATTCGTATATCAGGCCTAGGAAGTCTTTGAATGATTCAAACTTTACCATACATGTATTTCTCGATAATTATAAATTACCAACTTTAAAGAATTGTTTGTTTCTCCCGACCGACTAACTAAAACTATTCCTACTCAAAACATTTAGAACTACCATTAAACAACTATTTTTTATTCATTCCGTAGCAATAATGCAATTTAACTTCGCAAGTGTTTCAACTGAAATAAATGAATAAAACATTAGGAAATTAACCTTTTTTCCTGAGTCAGAAGGGAGCAAGTTAACCCTTTTAAAGAACTTTTACAAATCTGGTTGCATAAAAAGTGTTTTTTCATATAAAATTAAGATGCTAATGCAATTGACTGACTGCTGTTAGATAATTGTTCACTTATATGGAGAAGTATTCATTTAATTTAATTGATAAAAGTGTGCTCCTTCGTAGTTGACTTTTTTTTATTTTTCTGATAATGAAGAAAGAAGAAAATTATTAAAATTGATGAATGTGTACCATCTATATTATTCCAGTATTATACATTGTGTCATTGTAATCGGGTCCTTCGGATATGACCTAAAAATTGAAGCCCGTGTCACGGCAGGTGTTTAGTACAAAAGGATCCCTCATTGCTTGATATGACATGGCAATAGGTTTTTGCGTAGAAGGCAGAAATACTTTCTTCTCCAGAGAGCAAGTTACAGTACTGAAGCGATAGAGTCTTAAAACCCCTCTCTTTCAAATCATCCGCGTGACGCAGTAGTTAGAACACCTGATCTAGAGTTGGCAATTGAGTAGATCCTTACGTCGAGGCTTCGAAACATAGCCAAATGAAGGACGTAAAGACTGGTCCTTCTGACAAGACCGTATAAAGACAATATATTGTCCCGTTTTGCAGTAGTTGCTGACACGAAAAAAACCTTACTGCTCAATAGCCATGAGTGCCGAGAATAGGTCAGCAATTGTAGGCCTTCAAAGTGATGGCGTCTCCAGATGATGGAAAAATTCTTGAGTGGCACGTTCAACAACACACAAGCAAGCACATTACCTTAAGCCGCAGCAAATCAGTATAGCTACTGAATAGTTGCTTGATTGATCGTATGTTGTTTAACGTTCCATTCAGGAATTATATATAAACGTCACCATTTACTGGTTGGTGTTTTCCCTGAAGGTCTACTGGACAAAACAAACATGTGATTATCACATTCAATTAAGGGGCTCTCTAGGGGGGTACATGTAGAGTTTATCTTTATGAACTATATATACCTGCATTTTTTGCAGAGTTAATTCGACAGCAGTTTTCTTTTTCTTTCTTTTATTTTCAAGGTATTTCTTTTGAAACATGGTTTAAATATGCAAATATTGATAAAAGATTTTTTACACTTTAATTTTTCAGAAGAAATGTAGAAATCTGAAAGTTTTATCCATTGGTTAAAAAAAAACTACAAATAATGTTTCATCTTAATAAAAATTATAATTTTTTTTTTGTTAAAAATGAAAATATCATCCTTCTTGTAAAATGTCTTGTTGGATAGTTATACTGTGCATTTATCTACGGCAAACTTTGAACACTATTAGCAATTGAAACATTTTTTCAGAAGAGATGTCTAAAAGATAGGTAAACAAAATTTCGGTCATTATGTTCATGTAGTTGGCATTTTTTCTTATCCAGAAAATATCTGTTGATCATATGTCATTTTTCTCTTCAATATTTCTTATAAGTTTGTTAAATTAATTTTGCTTGAGATACTTTTAAATCAAATTTAGGTTTAATCACGGTTTCAAAGCATTAAATTTGAATATTTGAATAACAAAAAAATAATTTCAATATCTTAGTTGCTCTGCCTTATGGAACTGAAGTCTTAAAATGATTTATTTACTAAAAAATATCAAGAACCATAAATATATTCTTTGAAAAAATACTCTAACAAGTAAAAAAAGAACGAAGAAAAAAAAAATCACGTAAACCTTTTTTATGTGTTTGTGTGTGGGGAGGGAAGGACCGTCTCCAAATGTTTTAGCTTTTTTTCAAAATTTTGGAAATTGCCAGCGCTCAACTTTACAGCTATAAATATTAGTTGGAGCAGCATTTAAATAAAAAATTTACATATCATTTTCATCTCTAAATGTGCAAACAGAAGCAGAAAATATGTTACATGTAAGTGTCTAGCGTGTCTTATATGTAGAGGAAAAACACACGGCCGCTTGAGACCAGTCAACAGGGGATGCTGACTCCTCGATGAAACCTGATCTGACCTCTGATGATTTAATGG